ATGGGGATGTGACTAAGATGACTCCTATGAAATGATTGAGACATTACCGAAACTGTGGCACCTGTGTCCAAAAGTGCCGGAACTGATATGTCCTCCACAACAATGTCCACTTCTGTTGAATGTCCAACGAGTCCATCTGGTATCTGTGAAGTGGGGCAATCCTGAAAACCTATGGGCGACCCTTCCCATAGGCCTGCGAAAGTTTAAAGGTCTCCTCCTATGATCCGTCCTGACAGTACATGAGTAGTGAAGATGTCCTGTATATCCACAGTTCCAACACACAGCATCCTGTCTTCTCTGTCGATAATGAGGTTGATTCTGGTTGAACGCCGTGTATGGAGCACTTTCACTTGGTCCATAAGGTAGTTGAGGTTCAAAGTTAGACGGATCCTGAGATGTCGCTGTGTATAATGAGTTATCATATGATACTGTACAGGATTGAGGCTCAGGAACAGATCCTTGTGGCTCAAGATAACCAAATCCTGAAGGCTGGAAATCCATGCTAACGTGTCCTCTTCCCTCTCTTCCAGAAAAGTGAGGTCCCCTGCTTTTATTCCGGGTGTATCCGTGTACTTGATTTGGCTGATGAAAAGTAGGATTGGCCTGTTGACTCTTCAACTCCGAAACCTGAGTAGTCAATGTCTTGATCATGGCCTGTAGGTTCCCAATCTCCTTCTTCCATTCCGGCTCAGATGTGGAAGCCATCTTGACAGATGCTTGCCGCTTAGAAGTGTTGCTGTCATCCACCTTGGCCTGATCCACTTCTATCTCACGTAGAGCCTTGAGGAGATCGTTCAAGTTTGACGTCTGATCGAACTTGTATCCTGATTGGTTCTTCAGATCAGGTCTCAACCCACTCCACAGCATGTTTCTGAGCATATCATCTTTCCTAGACACACTGATGTACTCCGGATTGCTCTCCAATGCCTTGGATAGAAGAAGCTCTAGACGACAACACCAGGATGAGACAGACTCCTTGTCCTTCTGCCTTGCACTATAAAAGTTAGACATCCGGCTCTCTGTCCTGTCAACCTCCCCAAACATACTCTGGAATTTGGATAGCAAAGTAGCTGTGCTTGCCTGTGGTCCAAGATTCCTGGCTATCATGGCAGCTTCTCCCTTCAGTGACCGTCGGATTACCTCATAGAGATCATCTTCAGAGAGCTTAGTCCTCTTGTTTATAAGGCATGCCACTTCATATCGCCAGTGTTCATAGTCCGCATCCTTACCAGAGTCTCCACTGAAGAACGAAAGTTTTGGTAACTGATGGTAGAACAATCGAGGATCCGGTGTAGTTGAAGCAGATGTGCCAGGCATAGGAGGAACATAGTTTGAATCCAGCCCTGAGTGTAACCGTCCAGACAACTGAGAAGCAGCGGGCAAAGTACCATCTATTGCATGGTATTCCTCTTCCTCCAAATCCTCTTGTTTGAGAGCTGCATAGGAATCGAACCAGGACTCAAACTCCTCAGGTGTATCAGCAGTAGGCTTCACATTCTTCCTACGAAACACTTCTAACATGTTTTGGATCTCCTTATCCGTAAAATCCATCGTTGACACACAAGTGTAAAACGAAGATAATACCAAGTATAGAGAAACACAAACCACGAAATTATTTGTGACCACCAGCAACTTAATTGCTGATAAGAGGGTGTAAGAAACTAAGCTAAGATGTTTCTGTACGCAAGCGTTTGTGTAACAAGTGTGGTTACAAGTGTGGATGCAAAGTAATCAAACGAATAATGAAGCCAAGTTGTAACCTAAAAGATAACAACTTTAAACCAATCACTTACGGAACCTGAAAGAAAAAATAATGTGAAATAAAGCGTATGCTTGTTTGTTTACCTGAAAGAAAACAAATATGTATATCAACAAATTCAAGAAATAAACAACAAACAGTGCTGTTGCGTATGTGTGCAGTGCAATATGGTGAACTGTCAACGTACCGTCAAGTTACTTGTCAAGTCACTCGTCACCAAGCTAAGTTATTTATTAACTGAGCTTTATTTAAAAATAATTTGAGAAAATGTTGTTGAGGCTTAATAAGAGGAAACACAAACACACATGTCAACCATTCATCATAAATGCACAAGTAAGGCAAATAATAATGAAGCAAAGTACTAACGTATACTAACTTAACTATGAATTAAGAATACTAAGAAATGATTTGCTAACTAAACTTTTAAGAAAAGATAATTTAAACACTAAGCAGTAATGCCGTGTGAAAAACTATATGAGAAATGCAAATTACACCACTGAATTACTTTTCAGCTAGGAAAAAAAATCAGCTGAATTAATAACTTATTAATACTAATTTAAATGTAAACAAAATCAAATGTAAACAAACAATATGGTCGACCAAAAAAATATATAAATATAAATGTAAACAAACACTTTACAAAGGTTACTTGAAATTAATCAAAATGTAAACAAATGAAAAAATGCACTATCTATGAGCTCATAACATAATACTACAAGGCGCCATTAAAGTCAATATGCTAGCTAGCAACAAGTAAAGTCACAATACCGCGGTATTCTAGGAATGTCCAATAAGACGAACATAAGTGACGAATCCTGGGGTGTGTGTGAAGACATCACGTGACGATCGTAGACCCGGGGTGTTGTATGTCGCTAGGCAGAGGCAGTGTCCATCGCTGAAACTATTTCAAGTCCACAAATCACTGGGGGCTCCATTTTGTAGCAGGGTCACAATGACGACACGCAAAGTGAATGCAGGGTTGTAAGTTCTGTTTATTCCAAGTGGATGTAGATTTCAACATACACGATAAACCCTGAAACAATTGTAGCAACAATATAATAACAATATAATAACAATGTTCGGCATGCTTGCAGAACATACATTGACATCTATTTATATATATTCAGTATATTAACATTATAAATGTTAATAGAGCTTGAATGCATGAGCGCCGACAATATAATCTGTACATTAAAACATTACGGAAATATAATGATCGCCGAGGGATTGAACTTTACAAAGATCAGGGGCGATAACTCATGACATGACTTAAACAAAGCCATAAATGAAATCGGCGGCAATCACCGCACAGCATACACTATTTACCTTAGAAGGTTAATATAAAGGAACGATGATTCTGTATGCTAGAATGATATATACACATGATATAATTGTACGGCACATTACATACCCTATGTATGGCACAGGGGCCCGTGTTTATGCCTGGCCGCCATAGCAGACGATTGAATAATGTGTGCTGGAAATAAGATAGATTGCGATCAAAAAACCAAACAGATTCAGTGTAAACTGTCCATGCAGACATAACAATAAGCATGGAAAGATATATTTTATACACTGTAAAATCTTAGATTGAGACACTTTGCCATTATTTGTGCAAAATGCAATGATAATAATTAGACAACATTCATACACAAAGCATACTCACAATGCCTCGCTTTGAAGTTATTTAATGCTGTTTATGTTTAAAAGGGAATATATGATACACATTAAAATGGGAGCTTTGCGTTTACCTGCCGTGCCGATTACAAGACATGTTAACTACCCTGACGGCATTAATTACCCCTATTAATATACGCTATGTGTTTAAGATTACTTATTGAATGACTGCTACATTAGATATGCATAAACATTATTTAAGATAGTTAGTTTACTAACCTGATGAAAATTAAGTTGACGCCTATGCTTGTCTGTCTCTCACACAAGTTTTGTCAGTTGTGTCAGGGTGCGAGGTGTTCAGGCATAGAAAAAGCATGCAGGTTTGAATGGACCAATCGTAACGTGTTGTCACGGTTGGGTAGACACTATTGGTTGTGTTACTAAAACTAAGCGATTAACTATATGAATTGTTTCAGCGCTGATATGAGCTGAAATCAAGAAACTTATTTAAAATACATGAATTGTTAACTATTTCATTTCAGTCACTGTAGTGAGTTGAAACAAAGCAATATATTAAAATACATATTTACATTGCATATATCAGCGCCTACTGGATGCTGAAATAAAGACAGAGAATTAATGATTATTTACAATACTTTAAAGCTAACTGGCACAAACTAATCCTAACACTCAGACATACAAAGTATGTCCCTGCCACAGTAGTGTTGGGAACAGAATAACACTTGGCTTGGGTGTTGAGAAATATACGACACCTGGCATGGTAGTGTTGGGAACAGAACAACACCTGGCTTGGGTGTTGAGAAATATACGACACCTGGCATGGTAGTGTTGAGAAAGAACAACACCTGGCTTGGGTGTTGAGAAATATACGACGCCTGGCATGGTAGTGTTGGGAACTGAACGACACCTTGCTTGGGTATGTTGAGAAATATACGACACCTGGCTTGGAAATGTTGAGAAATGAACAACACCTGCTTTGGTAGTGTTGGGAAATGACCGTACGACACCTGGTTTGGTGGTGTTGGGAAATGAACGACATTTCATCCAGATGAGAGCATTAATAACAAACCCTGGAGCTTTTGTTTATAGGGTTATCGTAATTGGTCAGCGGATCAGTGTGGAAATGACACACATCCGGTGTATGTACTGCAACCAGGCTTGTATTGTTTACATTATCGAATGTTTTACATCCTGAGTGAGTAACTCTCATTTATATGAGATATCTGAAGAATGACTGTAAGGATGCATTTGTGGATGTCATTTTGAATATTATATTTATTATAATTTCACATAGATTATCAAGCAAATGTTTGCACTAAGACACATAGGTACGACTGAATGACGGCCCCTTACAGGCCGATGAGTAAAACAGCAGACATTGAAGAACATCATTGATATTTGTTTATTTATTTCTGAATACACCACAATACTTCCACTGAAAATGTTTGGTTATGAAATGGAAACCGAAACGAGTCAAACATTGTACTGCTGAGAAAGTAAGATTCTTAATGGATAACAGCTTCTTTATTATATATAATGCGGTATGGATTCTTATACTGTTGTCTTGCTTGACAACGGTATAAGAATCCATACCGACACGTCGCATCATATAAAAAGAAGAAGTTGTTATCCATAAAGAATCTTAGAATCTTATTACTCACCAACTTCTAAAATGCCAATCAAACAGATTGGACTGCTGCAGTATGCTTGATGTGTCTTGAAAATAGTAATTAGCCTTTTGTCAGAAGGAAATTGTGTGCCACACAGCGTGCATTGTTGGATTATTGAAAATACCAGCGCCTTGAGCATGCGCTAGTGCGTGGATATGTGCGCTATATAAATATCCAATAATAAGAAAATAATAAAAATTGTTATTGTTTCATAAAAAAATATTTTTGCTCTTAATTTGAATCCACAAAACCCACCGTAGCTGAAAAAGAGCTTCTATAGGAATTAAGATATTCAAAATCTTCAAGGCGTTCCTGTACACTTTATGTCTCTTCGCCATTCTATTACTCCATCCATTAAGGTTATAATAAAGGGGCTGTTGTGATCTTCGAACATTTCAACATCATAGTAATACTGAGTTTTCGTATATGTGCTGCTGCAGAACGTGGAGCTGGGCAGCTCTGCCAGCCGGGTCTGGACACCCACCAAAACGGTCATGGTGCCAAGCCTTGTAAGACCACATGACCTTAGCTATGCAAAGTACACCGGCCGTGTAACCAAATACCTGAAAAACAACCACCAAAATATAGCATCAGTAGTACATAAATGATAACCTAAGAATTGTGTGATTTGTTTGAGTCAGTGACAATCTAGAAGTTGGTGGCATAGAGATGACAAAACTTTATGGATGTTCAACTTCTTTATCATCACAATAGCGACGTTTCGGTATAGCTTCTTATACCGTTTTCAAGCTACACCGAAACGTCGCTATTGTGAATATAAAGAAGCTGATCATCCATAATGTTTTGTCATCTCTAAGACTTGTAGTTGAAAATCGCTCTAATAGGTTGCCAGGTTATTGGCATCGTTGTAAAGATTGAGAGTTGATGCGTCGAACGACCTTAAATTCACATTTACGGACAGTGGCTTCAGACAGTTTAAGATAAGTTGATGCTTATTTTTCTAATTGGAAATTGTGGTCAGATCGCGAATCGAGCCATAATATGGTAAAATATGAACATACCGCAACAGACTCACACGCATCACACTTGTCGTTTTCCACCATGTTTGACGCAATGAAGTATAAAACGGACCACACAGAATACCACATCATGTCCTGAAACAAACAAGCACTACTGTACTATACATAGTAAGAAGTTACAAGTTTGAAAAGCTAATACACCCTTATCAGTGTGAACTGACACACTTTGGAGTACAGAAAAATTCATGAAAATTCGCTGTCCAGGTAATATTTAGACATATTTGGATTATTTTCTTGGCTGACGGGGCTGCCTTTGCCATAACATATCATATCACATTCATCATTAGTAATTTGGGATAATTATATTAAATTAAATGGTGTGCCCACACGTCTCTCTGTGTGTGTGTGTGTGTGTGTGTGTTGCAGTGGAGAAGGATACAATCAGTTTTTGTCAAACAACTGGTATCATATACTATTTGATATGAGTTCTACTACGCCATCTGGAAAGTGGGCAAATGTTAGGTTAGGTTTGGGATTAGACTTTCCCGGTAAAGGCCAGATTCCCGTTCTCGTCCTGCAGATGAACCCTTTGCTTGTGGCTTAGTGATGATGTGGGATGCACTTTGTATGACTGTGAGTCGAAAGTCATCATAGTTCCCAGGGCCCCGTTATCAACAGGACACCGCCGTCGTGCCGCATTAGGATTACCAAACCCTTTGCCAGTCGTTCAATATTCATGAATGACAAGGCCTGACCTCACCGCTTATAGCCATCATCGCCCATTTGCAGAACAACACTAATGCCCGCTAGGAGCCTCGATATGAACCTCAACGAACATCGTTGGGACGATCTTGGACGCTGAGTTCGAGCTAGAGATCCTCTTGTTCAAATCTGCAGGATTAGACACAGCATCTCCACGAGGAATAGCAGAGGCGTCCGATGCTGAGAACTCAACGCTTGATTTCCAGTATGAGGATGAGACTTGCAGACTTCACCAGATACTGATTTGTTCACCAGTAGTGGTTCATACAATCACAATATGCTTTTTAGAACTGTGTGCCAATCAAATTGGTGGCTCAGTCATGGTGACCATATTTGTCACGAATCTGTTCCGTAGGTGGATCTCCCTGATGTAGCAGTCTTCTGCCGGTGTGGTAACTTTTTGTCTTTCCCATCTTCGACGGTCTTGGGCCTGGCCTGTCTGCTGGTAGCGGTTTATCAATTTGCTGATGGTGGCCTGACTGCAGTTGAAGGTTCTTGCCAGCTGACGTTGTGAAGCCCCCATATTGGCTATACCGATCGCCCTGTCTCGTTGGCATATTCGTGGTCGTTTTATGCACAGAAACATGTGTTGTTATCGGGACTATGTTGCGGTTTGGCGAATGTTTTCTGCTTGAGTTCAATACTGTTCCAGCGTTTTTGTCTCATATACAATTACTTTAAAAGTGATAACTTTCTTTCGCCGGGTAGTTTACTGCAAGAAGTAACGTTTTCGTACTTAAATCGGGTGGTGCATGATTAATGCTCATGTGTATATCTAAAACGAAATAAACATCCTAAAGCGAAAAAGTGGAAACAGACACATATTCTTTGGTTCTGATGCCAAACATTAAAAACATCCCTCCAGAACAATATTTTTCATTATAAGGCTGGACCAGCTGGGTCAGCGCACACAGTGCGTTATTTCAGGGAATACGAATTGAAAGGGATCGCCGATTCAGCGTTTTGTACCAGGAAACACGCACTATATGCACCTACCTTACAGGGATCAAAGTTGAATCTTATATTTTTGTGAATGACGATGGAGTAGATGAAGTAGCTGACGATCCCTGAGAAGAAGACGGAGCCTGACACAAATTCATAGAATCCATGTCCAGAACCACTGTCTCTGGAGATGACGCCATTGAGCGAAGACACCCAGCCAATCAGAGAAACAACCTGCAATAACATATGTAACTTTAGAATTACATTTGGAACCAGAAGACGGCAAGGGAATTTTAGAAGCAATGAAATAATGTTGGGTAGATCATCGACTTATGCATTTATCTTTTATCTATTACTAAAACTTTGCTAATTATCACTGTAATGGCATGTGATACGCCAGATTGTGTGCATCTGTTGAAACAGCGGGAAGACACGTTGCATGACAAATAGTCCGTTGTCATGTGTGACATAATGCCAACAAACAACATAGGATCATTAAGCAGTCAGTTTGCCTGTCAAAATGAGTGTACCTGACCAAAACCAAACCACACAGAAACTCGAAAATAGACCCGCTCTTCGTTAAGAACATTGCCGAGTTACTTAACAGAGCAGGGCGTCGTGAGAGGGTGACCTGAAGCACGTTCCACTAGCTCAATTGGGTTAAGGTTTGGTGACCGGGGTTGCAGTGTTCTGTTGCTTTAACTCGGAATCAACGACCAAGTGCATTATCGTCCATGAGAATGAAATCCAGAATGATCGTACTAGAAACGGTCCCAGCAACACATCCAAAATATCATTCTTATAGCGCACACCTGTTATCGTCCCCAGCCGTGAGACATGTAGATTCAGTCTTCCAGCTCAATTGATCCAATCCTAAATCATTACTGAAACCCCTTCATTGTGATCATGTTCGGCTGCGACCTCGGATCAGGGTCGGGCCATTGTAGTGGGGAATGGAGGCTTGATCAGAGTTGAGCCAATGGAGTGAGGAATAGACGTGGATCGTGGTAGGGTCATTGGAGACTTCAATAGAGACATGGATCAGGGTTGATTCACTGGAGTCGGGTATAATGGCATGGGTCAGGGTTGATTCATCAGAGTTGGGAATAATGGCAGGTGTGTTTAGGGCTGAAGGAGTGGAAAAGGCAGCTAAAGGCAGCTGGGTTTTGGTTTTGGCCTTCGCATAGTGGACAGGACCGAGAGTAAGGTGTACCGTTATCGCAGCATTGAGGATGCCATGTATGCTCTTGCAGTAAGTGATGTCAATATATATGTCCCACTTCACGCCGTAAATCTGTCTTTCCGGGATGTCGATACTTGTGCTCGTTTTCTGGTCGCAGATTAAGAAGTGGCTTGTCTGCAATAAGGAAGTTTTACAGTTGTGAATGCACAATGGTGAAAAAATGAAGATACAAATGTATAAAAGTCTTTGAATCGGTAAATACGTACAGGATGTCTCATATTGGAGTTAGAATTATAAAAGCAACCTATACAATCGGAACATGTCTATATGACCTCTGTCAACAAGTTCTCTTGGAGTTTGGAAACTCATGTCAGTTATCCCCCCTACCCAAATTCTTTTGAGGCGACAGAATGAAAATGATACATGGAGATGAGATTATTCGGGTGATATGCGCCGTAAAAACTCGTTCTCAATTTAGCGAAGTTTAGTGAACGCACGAGCAATGAGAGAGAGAGAGAGAGAGAGAGAGAGAGAGAGAGAGAGAGAGAGAGAGAGAGAGAGAGAGAGAGAGAGAGAGAGAGAGAGAGAGAGAGAGAGAGAGAGAGAGAGAGAGAGAGAGAGAGAGAGAGAGAGAGAGAAAATGCCCGATGGGACTCATCCCAACAAATACTAGATCCTGTACTTTACTGGGATAATATGATCCCCAAAATAACATGTGTTTGGTGTGTAGACAGTGGCCCCATTTGAACGGGCGAATTCACTATACAGTGTCCCCACTTTAAGACTAAGTCACTGTACACTTCAAGTGAGTTCCATTCATCATTTTTAAAATCATATTTACAATATCGTATCTCGCTTGCTACCTCCTGACAGACCGTTCTATCTTTCAATGCAGATTAGACTTGTTCCGCCTTTCTCTGACCGTGATGTTGAAAGGTTGCGCGAAAACGTGGCTAACAATTTGAAATGGTCGAAAAGTCAGTTGACCATGTTGTTTCCAAGTGTATTTAGGGGAAATGTTAAAGACGTTTATTCTCCCTTACCTATTGATAGGACTTCTTATTATCAGAGTGTTAAGGCTGCATGTTTATCGGCTTACAAATTGGTTATTAAAGGTTACAGGCAAAGTTTGAATTCTGGTAAGATAAGGAATGGTACTACTACAGAAGGTGGTGTACTTTAAAAGATGCCAATGGTGATTTTGACAGTTTGAGGCAGTTTTGCTTCAAGATTGTAAGCAATGTGTCTGAGGAGACATTCGGACCTATCTTGATGAGAAGAGAGTTGATCAGTTTGTGTGTGTCTCAAGTTAGTAAATCATTTTCCATAGGCAGTGTTGTATATAGGACACAATTGCCTAAGGCATCACAAATATATGAAGAGATATCCTTGATTCAAATCCTAGATTATTATAGTACCCTTACGGACCCTTTTAAGCTTTCATCCAATATCATGTCGTGATGTGGCTCACTCACTCAATCACTCACATATCTCTGCATATACATGTCATTAAGTTGTCACAAGCTGCCTGTTTGAAGGTTAATAGTCTCACGGGTACCCATTTTCTGCTGGTGGAACAAAGGCAGTTTTGAACAAACTCACTTGCCTAAGGCGAGACCACATGTATCACATGTGCTTCGTTGTGGGACAGGAATGAAGTCCTAGAAACTCTCAGCAGTTAAGCTGTCACGGCTGTCACCCATCCAAGGACGTATGGTGCAATCGATATTTCGGATTAAACATATCAATAAATGTGCGAGTGTGACATTACCTGAAAACATCTGTTACACATAGCTTACGATTTATTCTTGACAAATGCTCAGTTAAACTCTTCACTGATATAAAATGTATCGATCAAGAACGTGTATTTTCTTAATGAATTATTTCAAGGGCACCTACGTTTAAATGGTATCATTTCATGATAAACTTTATCTGGTGTAACTGAAAATATAAGGTTCGATAGGGCGGTAAATCCAACTTACACACTCCAGTCAGGTTTAGATCATGTTCACCACATCCACATGAGTTCAAGCCCGGAAAGTCGACAAATGAAGATTTACCACCAACAATAAGTGTCGACTCTGCGGGCATCGCGGACTATTGTTGCGCTTGGCTGGTTTCACCCCCCACTGACTTAATCTCACAGGCAAACAGTGAACACAACAGAGATTAGCACTGGTTTAAACATTCAATGGAATCAATGGAATATGCGAAATGTTTCAAACAAATATAAAGCATACAACGAGCATGATCAACACGTGTAAAATGTATAAATCAGTCTTTCATTGAAAACTAGCACTGATACAGTTGAACAAGCATAATGTCTATCCCAGGTGAAGGAGTTTCGAGACGTGATCTGTGTAGTTCATCTCACACAGTGTCTGGGTGATCAAGTCATCCTTCAGAGATCTGATTCTCATGTCAGTTTGCCGATACTTCCTCCTCCTAACAGATCCTCTGCCATGTCCTTGGATCTGCTGGATCTTAACCCCAGCCACTGACTGTTCTTTCTGAATGAGAAGTACGAGTTCATAGATGTTCGGATGGGTTTTCTTTGCAAATTTGTTTATTTTATGGTGCCAGCCTTCAAGATTGTTGTTGGTACGATGTCCATCATTACCAAAGTGGTTCCACATAGACAGTGGCCAAGAGCCTTCGATCCAGGTTGACGTGACGTAGTCCATCAGCTGTGTTGACTTTTCACCTTGAGGAGCATTACTGATGGCGTCTACCCAAACGTCTTCAACTTTGTCATCGGACACAAGGGGAAGTGCAGCCGCTCGTCTCACAAGCTTGGTTACTTCCTCATCGTGTTTGTATTCAGTTGTTAGTCCGATCGTTTGGACACGACGCCATATATACTGTGTGTAGAGGAAAAAACAACCACGTCTCTGGGTTCCAGGTAAGACAGCAGCAACAGCATTGTGGGACGCACGCTCCCATCTGGAAAGTTGTTGGTACCAGCTGATGTCCTAGGTTCGCCGAGGTCTGCTTCAGATAGGTAAACATCCGTGTGTATGAGTCCGCGGTTCTGCCTGACATGAGCCCATACACGAGTGGCAACATATGTCCTTGAAATTCAGCATGGATGGAATATATCTGGTCGAAGAGCCTAGGGCATGTTGAGAAGGTCCCGTCAGCAAATAGGACGTCAGCATCACTTAGCAGTTCTAGATTCTTGTCAGTTGGGAATATCAAGACAGGAGACTGTCCCTTCAGTCGATGTAAGAATCTTTCCCCTGCCTCTGTCCTGGCCCACTTGTCCTGTAGGTCGATGTCCTGTAAGGTCTGGGGCAGTCTTGGTACTGCCTTGTGTCTCTGGCGGTACATACTCGTCCTCATGGCATCGTACGTGGGATCAGTCTCAGAAGGGCGTCAGGTGCTACAGCTGGGTTTCTCCGCAACTTTGCAATTTCATCTTGGTAGATCTGAGGAATGGGGGTTGTAGCGTCAGATCTGGCTCGATCGTGGAGCTTGGCTTTGAATGCATCAACTTCGTAACGTAGTCTGGGGCACGGTGGTTGTGACCGTTGCCAACAACGTTGACCATGTCGTCCACTGTCATAAGATGGGCACTGCACCCGGACTGTGGACATTTCCAGTATGTCTTCTCTGCCCTCCTTCTGTTATCTCTGAAATTGTATCCCTGATGATAGAGATGTCTACCACCACGAAGGTTGTCTATCGGCGTCACACGTACCAAAGCATTTGCCATAATGATAGGATGAATTCGTTCTTTCTTTCGTTCGTTCGTTCTTTGGAGATTTAACAAGCACTACCAGCGTAGCCGATTTCGCACGTGGTGATGAATTCATTCTGCAACTGACTTATATTCACCAACGATACTAATTGCTTTTACTCAGTAACCAACTTACTCACTAGAGTATATCATTTACTCTCAAAACATCACTACTTGATAATATAAACACTGGACATATGGACGTTCAATAGTTTACGTGGGATAGTAGTAGAATATGGACGTTCAATAGTTAACGTGGGATAGTAGTAGAATATGGACGTTCAATAGTTTACGTGCGATAGTAGTAGAATATGGATGTTCAATAGTTTACGTGGGATAGTAGTAAAATATGGATGTTCAATAGCTCACGTGGGATAGTAGTATTATGCAGACGTTCAATAGTTTACGTGGGATAGTAGTAAAATATGGACGTTCAATAGTTTACGTGGGATAGTAGTAGAATATGGACGTTCAATAGATCACGTGGGATAGTAGTAGAATATGGACGTTCAATAGGTTACGTGGGATAGTAGTAGAATATGGGTGTTCAATAGTTCACGTGCGATAATAGTAGAATATGGACGTTCAATAGTTTACGTGGGATAGTAGTATTATGCAGACGTTCAAAAGTTTACGTGGGATAGTAGTAAAATATGGACGTTCAATAATTTACGTGGGATAGTAGTAGAATATGGACGTTCAATAGTTCACGTGGGATAGTAGTAGAATATGGACGTTCAATATTTTACGTGGGATAGTAGTAGAATATGGGTGTTCAATAGTTCACGTGCGATAGTAGTATTATGCTGACGTTCAATAGTTTACGTGGGAAAGTAGTAGAATATGGACGTTCAATAGTTCACGTGGGATAGTAGTAGAATATGGACGTTCAGTAGTTTACGTGGGATCGTAGTAGAATATGGACGTTCAAGAGTTTACGTGGGATAGTAATAAAATATGGACGTTCAATAGTTTACGTGGGATAGTAGTAGAAAGCGGACTTCCAATAGTTCACGCGGGATAGTAGTAGTAGTAGAAAGCGGACGTCCAATAGTTCACGTGGGATAGTAGTAGAAAGTGGACGTCCAATAGTTCACGCGGGATAGTAGTAGAAAGCGGACTTCCAATAGTTCACGCGGGATAGTAGTAGAAAGCGGACGTCCAATAGTTCACGCGGGATAGTAGTAGAAAGCGGACTTCCAATAGTTCACGCGGGATAGTAGTAGAAAGCGGACGTCCAACAGTTCACGTGGCATAGTCGTAGAATGCGGACTTCCAATAGTTTACGCGGGATAGTAGTAGAAAGCGGACTTCCAATAGTTCACGCGGGATAGTAGTAGAAAGCGGACGTCCAATAGTTCACGCGGGATAGTAGTAGAAAGCGGACGTCCAATACTTCACGCGGGATAGTAGTAGAAAGCGGACGTCCAATAGTTTACGCGGGATAGTAGTAGAAAGCGGACGTCCAACAGTTCACGTGGGATTGGGGAGCTTCAGTGTACGCTAACACTTTCGTTCTTTTTCAGTTCTCTTTACCCAGTATGCATAACGGTTCAAAGAGACTTCTGCAGATCACCCACGTAAGGTGACTAGCATGTCTGGCGTATGAATCTAACTTTCATTTTTATCTGCGAAGGAAGCCTGTTCAAAAGTCAATTGGATGTCTGACTTTTCAGAATCCTCTTCAGTGAAAAGCGTATGTATTGACAGCTTTGTATTCAGTACCAGAAGGCACGAAAGGGCTAATATCCCGAGACTGTTAACTTGCTCGTCACCAAGCTATCAGATAGTTCTAAGTTGGGAATGAATTGCCCAAACAACAGGCAGTGATCGTGGGGGATTCACAGATTCAGAGACATATCATATATCGCACGAACATACATCTACCAAACATTTGCGACACTCCAATCGCAGCCAATGATCATTTGGTTTGTGCAATGAGGACTGTGGTCTTTCAAGATACATGTATATACTTACGCTTTGGGGCATTTTGTCCAACAAAGTAGCCATTGTGAAAGATTCAGTTTATCATCTGACATCGTACCAGCAATGTTCAAGATTTGCGAAAGTATTCCGTTATGAAAACTAGTATACCCTGCCAGTGATAGATAGAAATGGAGCTTGGTAATCGAGTAGCGTGACCTGTGTGCAATCACGACAACATCTGCTTCAGCCTTTTTCAATTGATTCAGCGAGCGGACATATGGAGTCTATCGACTGTAGCTTATGCTGTAAATACCTTCAAGGGGGGTGGGAGTGGGGGAGGCGATACAACTACAGTGCGTCACTGGTCTATACAGCTAGAGACTGCACCTCCTCATAGAAAGTAGTATAGGCAATCGGGGTACGGTCGCACTCCGCCATCATTAAAGGTCACATGCAACCGAAAAATCAAACATAATTAAAACATAATTATCACATTCATGACATATAATATACATTGCTGGTTATGAAAAAACATATAAACAAAATTATAAGCGTACAATCGCAAATCAAAAGTGCAATATTGTGTACTTGGGTTTACTTCCCAAGAAACGAAGCAGCCGGGATACCGAACCCAGTCAGAGCCGGTGGGTGTGCACTCAAGTGTAACGGCTGGTTCATTTGCAGATGCCCTCACGGCTCATTGTGTGTGTATATATAGAGATGTTGGATTTTGTAAATACATGCTCATTTTTTGTGTATAACATTTTGCAATCAAAAGACATCATAACATGTCATGTGTTCAAGTATCACACCTGCCTGTCTGTGTAATTACATAATGTGACAGAGACCGAACTCGGGCCATAAATCAATGCGTTTTGTTTATGGTGTATAGCCTGATTGGTGTTAAGTTCAAATTGCATGTGGTCAGTGATCGCAGTTGTGTATTGAATATTGTCATTAGCAGACAGGCAGGCAGACACACAGGTGTCAATAAAACAAGACATTGAGTTTTGTCTGTGACAACGACATACTATTATCTATATCACAGTTAGAAATTCTGTCAACGCTAAATAATGACATTGCTTTTAAGCATCGAACTGAGAAAGTGACTCGGTAAGAAGAACGTGTGGTGAAATAGACAAATGAAATTATATAAACAGTTTATTTACTGTCATAACATATAAAAAGCTCGCGCCTGTGAGATATCAACAAAACATTAGGAAAATAGCTCACACCAAAGCCTTCACCAAGAATTCACCGGACAACCCGCTTCCAAGTTGCACGAACCTATTTCACTGCGCACGTGCTATGAGCGCAGCCCAGCTGTTGAAACCAGTTTTCCCCCGAAAAGTCGGGGGAAAATTAGTGAATCGTTTGAACTCCGATTTCGCGCGGTTTTTTTCATCGCGTTATTTTTCAACTTTATAAGTTGAATTTGCATTTTTGATGATTTGTTTTGGTAAGTCCATACCGAAAGGTATCAGAATCTGCAAAGTTGTGTTTTACGTTGCATGTGACCTTTAAGTATTCAATTCGGCTCCTAACCCGCCACCCCACCCCCCACCCCACACAAAACAAAACAAAACAAACACACACGCACCTAAAAACAGGGTATATGGGGTGGAACATTATTTCAGGTCGTCCACTCATATTTTGAATTGGGTTGTATTAATGGGACACCAATAGTTATTGCTAATGGATACAATTTACTACAGCCCACGAATACATTGGAAAGCAGCAACACAAAAGCAAGCTACAGCGGCTATGGTATCTGAAGCTGTTGCTAAGGATTGGTTAAAGAAACAAATATACTTACCAGCTCTGCGTTATATACCTAATGAAGTTCATCAGGCCGACATCTTGTTTCTTCTGGCAGCACCTCCAGTGAATAGACGTCGGTTCTCTGGTTTTGAAACTAAACTTGCATGCCATGTGAATCAAATATTGCCCTCCTCGTCCATTTGGAATGAAACGAGTTCTGTTTGCAATCTGATGATTCGCCATGGTTAAGTGACATTTAGATCTTTTGACATCATATATATTCTGGTTGTTTCTGATTTTGTGTTCACAAAGTGATTTATGATCAATACCTAAGACTGAGAGCAATCATACAAAGACGATTAAATGTTCACCTATCGCAACTAATTGCACTCAACGTTCATTAATTGAACTGTTATCAATGATCTCACCTGTTTTCATATATAAACTGGACCAGTGTTAGGGCAACATAAGTAGAACCTGTGACAGTAGTTTACTGTTATATAGATATAATGGTGGATTGTTTATCTCGATAATCTGAATAAATCGATACTCAGTATGATAACAATGTTTCTGTGTTCAACACCATGCAACGGATCAAGTTTGGTCTACGAAGATATATAACATTAGCCAAGTCGTTATGAAAGAAGAGATTTAAGAAACTTGTTTTTGTATCACCTGGACCAGACAGAGGATTTGTAAGAGAGGAGTTGCTCATAGTTCCCAACGGTACACTATTACTTCCCGAAGTAGCCGTAGGGATTTGTGGTTTTGCCGTCCTTAGTGATCCATGTCTTGATAGTAATGTCTTGTTCTTCCATAACCCATATATCCTGTGCTTGTTTACTATATATTCGTATACATCTCTTGGTTTCTATTTCTATCAATAATTAAACGGTATCGGTATAAAACCGGAATCTTATGGTTACGTCAAGAAATGAGCTTTTATGTCGCCTGATGTTACATGTAGAATGAGTTTCTCGTTGATTCTTGTTTTATTTATCACAGAAAATGATTTTCATGCATAGCTTCTGAAGAAATAACGATGATCCTTTTTATTGAGTGTAAAATTTCAACTGTAGACACTGGGAGCATTCATTGAGTAACTTCGTCATGCATTTCACGAATTAATGTTCCGAAAATATAATTCAAAGCAAGACGGTATTAAGTCTTGTCTTAATCACCAAAAAATGAAAATTTGCCTACTGCAGCCATTGACGCTCGGGTTCCAGGCAGTGTATCATTCGGTAATTCATAACTGTGAGTTCAAATTAAATGGCCAGGATCCGGTTATAGCATAGCTTCATTACTAATAGCAACATTAAACCCTAAAAATGCATTACATTATTAAATTTTAATGAATCACCCGGTGTCATGAAATATGGACGACATGCGTATCTACTGTCACCGAGAATAACATCGTCCTGTAGAGCGGTATGAGTTTCAAGGTGTTGCTGCACATTGCTCTTCTTGAACACATGGCTGTCAGGCGTACTGCCTGGCCATTTCGCCACTACGTTAGAACACAACCAGGCAAAACGGTTAATTTTAGTACAATAACATGGCGTCGTTGCCCAAGATGCATGCAGCAACCATTGCCAATATTGCCATAGAATATTGAATCTGAAAAAATATTCGCTATAGCATGGTCATGCCTCGACCACACCATGTGGTGTCAGGATAATGAGTTGCGTAATCGTTTCAGATGTGTCAATATTCAGTCGCCGATAAGTTTTCCTACTTTGTGACAATACTGCCTTTTCTTTGTTCAGTCTTGACAGGAGGTAGTTTGGAGGTGTCACATATTTCTTCCGTTTTCAATTATGTTAAAAGTGAGTGAGTGAGTGAGTTAGAATTTAACGTCACCTCGGCAATATTTCAGCCATATAGTGACGAGAAATGTTTTACATAAACAATAAATTAAAGTTGCTAAATAATCAGTCATCGAAGGACTGTAAAATAACTACAGTATCACAGATGGAGTCTAAAACTAGCATGAACATGTAAAACTATTTTATTTACGAAGACAATACAATATAAAAACGGGCTATAGATCGCCAACAACTGAAGGTAGATCACCATACTAGGAACCATGGGGACTTACATTGCTTTTGCTACCTGCATGGACAATTTTATTAAAAGGATGTCCTTACCATATAATGAGTTGTGCAGTTTTTCACAAAAAAAGACTGCTGTTAGATGCAACAACTGATTCTACTCGACACAAATGCAATGTAAACAATGTTTTGTCACAGTGCCAGATGTTGCCCAAGCTCAAGAACAACATTAACTTTCCCGCGAGATCCTACAGAGAACGTCCCTTTTCTATACAGCTTCATGGAGATGTGATTATATCGGAAACTCGGTTTCTCTTCTTTTATCCACACACGCACACATACACACATGGTGTCATATACTCTGTATATTGGTGGGTGCTTTCACATCATGTGTCTTTGACAATCAGAAATTGATTGAGGAAATTGACATCCTCGTTGACATTCAAATTGGCCTGCCAGTTGTTTTTCTTAATGCTTGTGTCATAAATACATACGTCGCCTGCTTGCCCTTAAGCGATTAAGTTTATCGTAAGTCTTTAGAGTAACCCACTCGATTACATTATACATTCCATTCCTCCTGCAACGCGTTGTTCTGCAAGTGTCTGAGGACGATGGTGACGTTTACGGACGCGTCGTTCAAGTTCGTCTCCATAGATGGTCGATCGGGTTCAGATGAGGCGATTTGGAAGGCCAGCGAAGGACAGCGAAGGACACTTTGCTTTGGCGAGATAGGCACCTGTTACCCGAGCATTGTAGGGTTGAGCGTTGTCGTGTTGAAACAGCTCCGTCTGACGGTTTAAAAGTGGGAGGAGGTGAGATCGCAGGTTTTGGTCGCTCTAGCGATTTCCTGTAAGATTGCCTTGAACCATCACTAGCTCTGAACGACCCGTGTAGGACATGTCTCCCCACACCATGACGCTATCTCAACCACATCTGTCCACCTGTCGAACGCAGATAAACACAACCACCTCTTCTTCACTATATAATGCTACTAGTCTTAATATTATAACTAACGAACGAACGAACGATGATTATGAGAGAGCGACGTCATATCTTTATTCTTAGAAGATTGGTTGTATTGAGTTGACTTGAGATGTGATTGACTGTAACAATAAACAAAACTAACTTAAATGTTTACAACAGTACATAACAGTCATAACGTATTACGGACTGCATAGTTTTACTTACAATAACTTATATGATTACCAAATCATTGCTAACATATCAATTCATGATTCTCTTACCGTTTTATATGCGCTCTCGTGAAGACGAACATACGAACTTCCCTCACGACCATGCCTGTCGCCACGAGACCTTCGAAACATGTGACAAGGCACCTGTAATTATCTGCCCTTTAGTCACCTGTACTTATCTGCCTCTTAGTTTCAAATGTTCTACGCCCAAATGATATCACTTGAAATAATAAACCAAACCAGATCCTTACACTTTATCTGTCCGAATCTCTTGTTTCATTGACGTTATACTTGGCGAATTCTCACAACACTAAACGAAACTCTTCCACGGATATCTTACTATCACCCAGTGCTGCCGAGACGTGGTCCTCGATGCTATTTGGCTTTGCTTCGGCCAGAATACGAATACTGTCATGTTTAAGGCTTCTTTCTGGACCCGTTGAGAAATAAACGTAAGAGCTATTCCTACCGTTCAAGAGATTTCCACCGTTGTTTCCAAACCAAGCGCGATAGGTGCAGGGTTTGGGTGAAGGATCAAAACCGAAACCGGGGTCAGCCTGGTTCCCGTCGTCTGCTGCGCCTGCGCTAACGCTCCGACACACCGACCCTGGCAACCACTGCCGAATGGCGGCCATCACATGGCGACACGCCATACCTTTACTACAGAAAAATCCGATAACGGGTGGTTAGAAGTTTTTCATAGCATGCTCATCGATACTATGGCAAAGTATACGTCACTAGAGCAACGCCCATCGTAACCACCCGTTCTCGGATTTTCTATAGCAAAGACATGGCGTGTCGCCAAGCAGTGATGGCCGCCATTTGGCAGTGGTTGCCGGGGTCAGTGTCGGAGCGTTAGCGCAGACGCAGCAGACGACGGGTACCAGGCCGGTGAAATATTTGCCTCCTCTCGAACTTGAATATCGGCAAGGGGCTTGTAAAGTGCCTTCCTATTTGGCGAGGCTATTGTGGTATATTCATTCAGAAGAAACTGTTTCTGTGGTCTGTGATGCATACACTTAGACGAGAATATACTGAGGGGAAAAATGAGGGATCACATGAAAGCACAAGTGTTCCTTTATTTTTGTCCAGTCATCTGGCAACAAATAAAGGAACACTCGTGCTTTCATGTGATCCCTTATTTTTTCCCCTCAGTATATATTGGGGTATGTGAATTCAGAAAAAACTAGTTTGATATTAAAAGAAGATATCTTATTATGAATTCCATTCGATGAGACTGTTGAAAAAATATCCATGTAGATAAAACTAGTAGTCGACCTCACACGGTGTTTGATGCAAGTCAATGTTATTAGTGAGTGAGTGAGTGAGTTTAGTTTTACGCCGCACTCAGCAATATTCCAGCTATATGGCGGCGGTCTGTAAATAATGGTGTCTGGACCAGACAATCCAGTGATCAACGGCATGAGCATCGGTCTGCGCAATTGGGAACCGATGACATGTGTCAACCAAGTCAGAGAGCCTCATTACCCGATCCCGTTAGTGGCCTGTTACGATAAGCATGGGTTACTGAAGACCAATTCTAACCCAGACCTTCATGGGTCGCCACTGTTAACACATGACATTGTGTAGTATTTTGACAAATTATTGTAAATACACACCTCAGTCCGCTGTTCAGAGGCGAATATATTTCATAGCTTAAGTCATCCCTAAGTTTGCTGGTTGTAACCTCAACCCGCTGTGGATACATAACACCGACACCAAGGTGCGTGTCATCGGAATGTGTTCAGACTGACCCACTGTATTGAATCCCAGCATTGTAACACGGCTGACCTCGTGCAATCACTTTCATGAAAAAGGTTTTTCGTTATTTATAGAAAAATATACTTGTTTTTCATACATTTTGCTTATTATGCATATGCAGTATAGTCGCATGTTCTTATCTTCATGGACACATTTCATCAAAAATAAACCTGATATATTGACAAGTTTCATGTACATGTCACCGTTATGCACGAGGAAGGCCAGTACCTTCAGTTGACCATCCCCTGCACGTGTAACATCTTGAACTCGGACACAAACATACAAGCAGTTATGTAGATCAAGAAACTGTGAATATACTGTACTTAAAAACTCGGATGAAACAATATTTGTATTGCCGATAAATACAACTGTGTTTAAAAGTTAATTTGAAATATCAACAATGTTTGAAAGTTAAATTGACATCTCAACTTGGTATGAATATTAATATGAGATCTCACCTTGGTATGAATATTAACTTGCAAAAACAAGTATTTATGAATATTAATTTGACATCTGTATAGAATAGCTTTAGCTTAAGTCACGTTTTATACATTTTAACGATATAAGCATACTTTACTATAGATCGTCACCACTTCATCACAACTTGTGACTAGAGTTAAACTCTATGTAAAATGTTACAGTGTATTAGGGTCATATTACTCCTTTAGATTCACCTGTAGGAATTCCAGGTAAGAATATAGGTCATTATAGTTGATTAATTGGGTAGGGCATGCAGATTCACTGACTTGGTTGATGCAGGTCATCGTAACCCACTTTAATAGATGTTCATGATGGCAATCACTAGATTTTCCAATCGATCATCTATTCAAGTTTTTGAAAGGCATTTAGAAGTTGGATGAACATGAATACATGACACGTTTTATGGATAACAACTTGTTTTTTTCTTCTTTACACGACGTTTCAGAGCTAATTCTTGCTCCTTCATCAGGTGAAATGATGAATAAAAAAGAAGCTGTTATCCATAAAATGTGTCATGTATTCACGGCCTTCTATTCATTGTTGAGGGTGGGATTTAAAACAACAAACACATTTGCTATATTAAGGTTATCACGAGCGAAGTAAAGATAGAAACTATTCAGTCTTCTTCTAATCGGTTGTAAACAAATGGGGCGGTGGGGTAACCTAGTGGTCGAAGCGTTTGCTCGTCACGCCGAAAACCCGGGTTCGATTCCCCACATGGGGACAATGTGTGAAGCCAGTTTCTGGTGTCACCTGCAGTGTGTTGCTAGAATATTGCTAAAAACGGCGTAAAACTAAATTCACTGTAAACAAATGTTTCGGCGCGATGGCTTAGAAATGAACCAACTATTGTCTGTATGACTGCATGACTGTTTTTCCACTTGGTTTTGAGAATATTGTGGAAAATAAAACCCTCCCAGCACTCCCTAAATATGTTAACAATGACTATTTATGCAAATTTCACACAAATCATTATCAACACCGCATACACAACATGTACATGCCCATTAACATAAAGACAATACCTACATATGGCCTAGTCTTTGTACCGTAGCCACGGTAATAACTGGTGGGACAGTTTATGTACATTTGCTGCACATGTTAGCTTTGTGGGTTTGAATGACATGAGCAATAAACACGCAATGCCTTTGTTGTAATATCATCCTTAAATGAAGATATAGACTGGTAGCCGCCCACTAAATGAGTGAGTGAGTTCGGTTTTACGACTCTTTTAGCAATATTCCAGCAATAGCACGGCGGGGGACACCAGAAATGGGCTTCACACATTGTACCCATTTTGGGATCAATCCCGGGTCTTTGGCGTGACGTGCGAACGCTTGAACCATTAGACAGCCCCACTGCCCCCCACCAAATGAGTGTTATGGAAGTACAACCGTGTGATGTTAGGTTTTCTCTTTGTTGTTGTTACCGATATTTACAATCCTAAAATAATTCATTTAAAAATAGTTCTTTGATTTGAAGTTGTAATAAATATATGTATTGATAAAATTGTTGATTGATATAGTTTGATATTTCCTCGTATGTCATACCATATTTAATAGTATACCTTAATTGAAAAATATTCTATGTACATTTCCAATGTGAATGTATTAATTACAATATATGATATCGATTAAAAATATACAAAAATTTGACATGCAGTCAAACCCCGTAGTGTTGAACTCGTCGGGACCAAGGGAACATTTCGACTAATCCGAGTGTTCGACACATCCGTCAACATAGATATAATGACCGTGAGTTCGACACAACCGAGAATTCGTCTCAACCGAGTTCGAGACTTTGGGGTTCGACTGTATTTGCACCAACACAACGACCATACATTAGGTAGAATCCGGTAGGTAACATCATCTCGTGTCATCTCCCAGTTCTCGACCTATGATACGTATCAGTATCAGGATCGCTGCGGGCCTAAATACTCACCCTATCATGTTGCTCACTAGTTCATATCGGAGACGTCCTCGGCATCAGGCTGCCTGTAGTTTGTTCTTATCTGCACAATAGGCTCAGCTTAACGGGGATAGTTGCTGGTGTGGTGATTAAGCCTGTCTTTATTGCTGTTTTATTGCTTGTTGACATTTGTTGACAACACAATGTTGAATCAGCCAGAGAAAGGAATCAAGAAGTCGGGTTACCTAGAGATCAAACAGTCTTCTAAAGTGAAGAATAGGAAACTGAAGGTGAGACAAATTGCACATTTAGTAGTGACTGGATTGGAATTCTTCTCAAAGATTTTACAAAATTCAGTATTAAAATCATCTGAATTACACATTATTTTGTTTCCAAACTTTGATACATCAGTGACAATACTGGTGTCTAGTGAAATGACCTTTTTACCTTTCTGGACGTGGTTTCTTTTCAGGTATAAAATGAGGTGCCTTTGCGTGTGTTTGTGACATGTGCCAACGATGGCGCAGAATACGTTTACCTGGTACCGTCACTATTTGATAGTGATTCTTAAAAACAGGCTTAAGATATACTCGTAATCGCACAGTCGACTAATATTTTAACAAAGACTTCTTGTGAATGTAGAAAGGGCTTGGTACTGTTCATTTATTTGATTAAATGCAAACTATGCGATGTGAAAGACTATGCGAGAGTAGCCGTAGGTGTTCGCGTTTTATGTTAATATATGTGTCAGTAGCTTGACTATGTTCTTAGAGAATCGTTGCATGTTTCTTGTGCGCATATTTACTGTGAAAATTAACGATTGGTAACTATTTGAATTATTTACCGCCACTTTGTTTTCTTTAAGCATTTACTTGATTTGACACTTAATGCCATCCTGTGCGTATCGATTATTATCAAAGGTTCTTTTTCATGAAAGTAACAAATATAGCACTGTCAAATGTCTATAGTACATGTTTACGAACACGTTTATTTTGCTTCCTTAGTGTTAAGTTGATGTCACGAATATAACAGTGTTTTGAGGAATTCATATCTGTGTATTAGAAAATTTTGATTCCTAATCTGAAACAAACTAACAAGCAAACAAACAAACAAACAATAATAAATGAACGGTGGCTAATGGTGCATGAGCATACTATACGCATGTTACTAGTATCAGAAACATGTAATTGATCTGTTTACACCTTATAGTGATCAATACAAGGAATGAAATACATATAAAGGACAATATGCTTTTCATTTCTTTTCATAAGCAATGATATACGGAACACATTTCCAGACAGAGAGAATAGCTTCATACCTTAAGAGGCAGTTGCAAGCCATTGTTATTGAACCAAAGAAAACATAGGTGCCAATCTGAAGTTAAAAAGAGGCTCTTCCCCTTGATATAGTACCTATGTTCAGTCTTTGTCTAGATATTGTAATTAGTGCCATGTTTGAAACTGACATCGACAGTCAAAAATTTGTGGAATTATTGACTGCAAGATTGACATAAATCCTAAACGATGAGTTTAAGGATTGAAACATTATGAAGTCGCAGCACAATTGTTGTTACTGTCATTTGGGCTGGGCTTCGTTCCTCTTCAACAACAAATGTCCATGCATGTTGTCAATATCAACAACTGTCCATGTATGTTGATAAACAGTTTCCTTAAGGCTCAGTTCTTACACCACGAGGACATTAATATCTTGTTTCAAGAACCCAGTTTAACAAGGTCACATAACAATGTACTGCTGTATAAATTTGTTCCGCGCACCTGTTTTGCAACTGAGATAAACACATCGCACGTTACATGTGTTCATTCTTTGTAAATTGCGAAAGCAGTACCACGCGTGTGTGACCATCATTTGTCAATGTCGTCATCACTTTTTTGCTGCTGTGGCTCCGCAATCACTAGGCAACTTGAACTGTCGTGTCAAAGATACTGTGTATCATGGATTGCTTACGTCAAAGGCGAGTAGGAGTACTACCATATCATTCTCTGACATCACTTCACTATCAATGCATGACGCAATCAGTTATATGTCGTTGCCCAAAGAGAATACGAAATTGTGCAATCTTATGGATTTGTGGGCTTAAATATTTGTCCTGCTTATAGACGAATGATTTCACTGTGTGTGGTTAAAATATGTTTAATAGTTTAATACTATCATTCGTAATTTAATGAGACGATGAAAACGAATTATATTCCTATATGCCTCTACAGTAGATTGCATTTCTCAGGCATGTAGAAATAAATTGCTCGCTTTCTGTTTTCTGTTCATTTGGACAGTCAGTCATAATGTTGTTAAATTATTGCTGAAAGCAGCACAGAGCCAACTTCTCACCCCTTCATTTGGAATCGGCTATTTTATATAGAACTTGGGATGTTTGGTAGGCACCAGGCACTTTTTACGTCACGGGTCTTTTATCTGAAAGGATGATCCAAGCTATTTCACACTTCCACGACACATTTTTGTCACATCTGGAAGGCAAAGAATTGTGTTGTAGTGCGCAAAGGTTTTGACGTTTTAAATATATTAACATACGTATCTTCATACAACAGGTTCATATAGATCAGCGGTCATCCTAACTAGATATCATACCGATACTTGATAGACACAAACAAAAGAGCTATAAGCGATATATCATATCTACAGCATTAACCCCAAATGTTGTTCGTGACGTAAGCAGTATATAATACTACCTAAATGGCCAATAACTAACAATGCCCAATTATACACTGTGTGCACGCATAATCCCTTGAAGTTTGTTTGTTTGTTTGTTTGTTGCTGTCCGTGAAGATCCGGATTAGAATTGATCTTCTGCAACCCATGCTTGTCGTAAGGGGCGGCTAACGGGATCGGGTGGTAAGGATAGCTGACTTAGTTGCCGCATAGCATCGTATCCCAATTGCGTAGACCGATGCTCATGTTGTTGATCACTGGATTGTCTGTCTAGACTCGATTATTTAGAGACCAACGCCAAATAGCTGGAATATTGCTGAGTGCGACGTTAAACTAAAAACCAACTAGCATTACTGTGTTGCAAAACTCACACAATTTTTTGAAAGCCTATCTATGCCTTTTACCCTAAATGGAACAGTTCTACAGATAGCCGAAACTGGATATTTTCTGATGTTTACATTTTATATTTCCATAGGTATATTAGGTACATTATATATACATATCATCATAGACGTTAAATGACCAGCAAGATAAAACCCAGGTACAGCCGTTATCGTCTTCTGTGCGAGTCAGTAAGTACGTGTACCTGTAATCAGTGGCAAGAAGACAGGTTAACTGCAATCCAGATAAACAGCCCCGAGTTTACGTTCTCCGACACTGAATCTTAAGGACAAAGTTTGCTGTCTATCTATACCACTATATCAATTAGGGATGGACATTCATTGATGGAAATTTACCATGTAAACATGTTAGATGCAAAATAGGTCATTTATGTCTTCAATCACCGGCTTATATAATTACACACTGGCTTTGATTCTGATTTTAGCAAGAAAATATAAAAAGAGAAAAGAAACCCCGTATTAATAAATAGTTAATAGGTGAAGCTGATATATGTTCTCTTATTTGCATCTGGACACACTCAACTGATGAACTGACCATTTAATGCAGTGAGCCGACAAATTCATTTTTCATAATTATGAAGCATACCTATTTTTCTTCAAGTTTTCTCAGATTTTCGCTGAAGGATATCATTTTATATATTCATCAAGCAAGAATAAAGAAGTTGAAATCTTTAAGACAATTGTATCTGTATAGATGCAACATATTTGAAATGGCACTTAAGATGTGTCTCTTCCAAAAGAGAGCTCAACCTGAAATATCGGTTTCTGTCCCAATATGACGATAGCAGATAAGTATCTGTATATAGACTGACTGATCGTGACTGTCCAGCGATCACTGACTTAGTGACCTAGATATCATGTCCATGAATGGGAATTAGGTCACTCACGAACTTATTTAGTAAAAACCATACATGACTGAAATGGATTTGTTATTTAAGAAATACAGTTCGCTCTACCACCATGTATAGTGTATTGTAAACCGAAAGTCACTGTGTTCTTTAATCTGATTGGTTGAAAAACGTGAACAAATGATATTTGATTCCCGGAAATTCTCTGCGTATTAATACATACAAACATCGCTCACACCATTGTATTGTTACGTCGTCAGCTTTGATGACGTCATTAAAATCATAGTCCGAATGACGTCACAAATGAGCAGTTCCATATGCTACCATAGGAGACAGCCGAAACGGCCGGCTGATGGCATTTCACTGCTGTACCCGTACTCGATATAAATGAGTGCAAACACAAAAAAACGTGTGTGGACCTTTTGGTTTACTTTTGTGTTTACAATGTCGATAAACATCATGTGTTGGCGAATTTCCGGGTGTTATTGAGTATTTGAAGCACTGGAATATTTCATTTGAAACCTCCGACTGACGCCGTCGGTTCCAAATGAATTCCCGTGCTTCAAATACTCAATAACACCCGGACATTCGCCAACACATGATGTTTATCTCCTAAATAAAACACACTTTCGCCCTGAACTATTATAGTTAAAGTACGAGGACGCTTGCGTCCGAGTGCTTCAACGTTATAATAGTTCAGGGCGAAAGTGTGCTTTATTACACTATACATGGTGGTAGAGCGAACTGTATATCTTTTTTCTAAGATGCCAAATTTAATACTTTCTAAGGATAATTACGATTAATTTAAGGCAGAAAACAAACGACGGTGTCGGTGACCTAAATTAAGAATCCTCGCACAGGGCTAACTGGCGCGCTGTTCTATTGATGTGTCCGCCCCCCTACGTTAAGACGAACGTTACCAGAAAAAAAAACAAATGATAACAGTTTGATGACGGTTTATGTTCGGATTAAATATCTTCTCTAAATTATTTTAAATACATCTGTCATTAACGTAAACCATATGGGGCAATATGAACGTCGCATTTCTACTACCAACGTAAGTTTAGATCAGTACATCTAGATGAAGCTGAGTAGTCAAGCGACATTCCACGATTGCATTGTGGGAATGTAAACATTGCGAACGTTACCGTGTCGCTGAAAACTTGTGAGTCGAATTGACACATTTTAACCGTCGTAAAACATAAACGTAATGTTTCCACCAGTGATGTTAGCTGCGTGAAGCAACTGCAAACCAAGAAACGGGATGCAACGGAGTAGTTTACTGTAGGAGGCCGTACGAGGCGATGACAACTGACATGCATCGTGACGTCGCTTACATTGTGACGTAATGTAAAATGGTTCGATTACGAGGGGGCACACTAGAATGGCGCAGTGACGGGATAACGTCATTCAATTGTTAAGTCATAAAAAAACTATACCTTTATTGTCTGATAATGTTTGTTTTCTTCGATTGTTCTAACCGCTAGGCATCTTAGAATTTCCATTATCGTTCAATTCATTGAAAAATGTAACAGTTTCAGTGTTTTCCATTTGTAAACCATTGTGAAATAAATCTAGTACTATTTCTGCCACAGTGCAAAATTATTTCTCAGTATTCTCAATTAATGGGAAAGAACATTAACATTGCCTGTATCAAAGATTTGTTCGTCAAGTAGGGTGGTTCTATCTCCAGCATTGTTGATATTAACTGAGCAGACCGACGGTAATCAGGTGTTCAGAGGATGATAGCTGGTTCAGCGTATGTATGCCAAGGTCGACTGTGCTAGCTGTAATCGATACTTTAATTGGCTAAGGTGATTAACATGGCTGCGTGTCCAGAGCTGACTATGTTATGTCAGCTTGAACTTATATACCACTGGCCTTTGTTGTATGCCCATACCTAGCTGTGTTCTGCCAACTTGAACCTATATGCCTCTGGCCTCTGCTGTATGCCCATACCTAGATGTGCCATGTCAGCTTGAACCTATATACCTCTGGCCTCTGCTGTATGCCCATACCTAGCTGTGTCATGTCAGCTTGAACCTATATACCTCTGGCCTCTGCTGTATGCCCATACCTAGCTGTGTCATGTCAGCTTGAACCTCTATGCCATCTGGCCTCTGCTGTATGCCCATACCTAGCTGTGTCATGTCAGCTTGAACCTATATACATCTGGCCTCTGCTGTATGCCCATACCTAGCTGTGTCATGTCAGCTTGAACCTATATGCCTCTGGCCTCTGCTGTATGCCCATACCTAGCTGTGTCATGTCAGCTTGAACCTCTATACATCTGGCCTCTGCTGTATGCCCATACCCAGCTGTGTCATGTCAGCTTGAACCTATATGCCTCTGGCCTCTGCTGTATGCCCATACCTAGCTGTGTCATGTCAGCTTGAACCTATATACCTCTGGCCTCTGCTGTATGCCCATACCTAGCTGTGTCATGTCAGCTTGAACCTATATGCCTCTGGCCTCTGCTGTATGCCCATACCTAGCTGTGTCATGTCAGCTTGAACCTCTGGCATCTGGCCTCTGCTGTATGCTCCATACCCAGCTGTGTCATGTCAGCTTGAACCTATATGCCTCTGGCCTCTGCTGTATGCCCATACCTAGCTGTGTCATGTCAGCTTGAACCTCTATACATCTGGCCTCTGCTGTATGCCCATACCCAGCTGTGTCATGTCAGCTTGAACCCGTATACCTCTGGCCTCTGCTGTATGCCCATACCTAGCTGTGTCATGTCAGCTTGAACCTATATACCTCTTGCCTCTGCTGTATGCCCATACCTAGCTGTGTCATGTCAGCTTGAACCTATATACCTCTGGCCTCTGCTGTATGCCCATACCCAGCTGTGTCATGTCAGCTTCAACCTATATGCCTCTGGCCTCTGCTGTATGCCCATACCTAGCTGTGTCATGTCAGCTTGAACCTCTATACATCTGGCGTTTGCTGTATGCCCATACCTAGCTGTGCCATGTCAGCTTGAACCTATATGCCTCTGGCCTCTGCTGTATGTCCATACCTAGCTGTGTCTTGTCAGCATGAATCTATAGGTCTGCTGGCTGTATTGTTTCCACGAATAGCTGTTGTGTCTGGTGCCTTCAGTGTCTACCCGTAGTGCTGCGTCAGTTTGAAACGTTTCTATGTTCCCGAACACTGCATATGATTTATGCATAGATAACAATACTTCTGACGTTTTTCCTTCAGATAGTTTGTTTATGGATATATAATCGTTTTAAACCAAATAACTTCATGATAATGGTACTTAACTAATAATACTAATGATAACAACAAAATATTGATGGGATAATAATACTGGTGATGGTAACGTTGATGGTGACGATGATGATGTTGATGCCATATTGGATTCATATCTCACACTTTTTCATATCATAAGAACATACTACGAAACATTCACGCTATGATAAACTAAACTGTGCAAGACCTATTTTCGAGTGGTTGCTCAGGTAAACACAGAACTTGCCTTTGCATGTGTTTGTGTCTAGGCTCATTGTTGATACAGGACACGTTCACCATAGACAGCATCATAGATCCTGAACCATATTATCTTTCCAGCCGTTTATGTGATACACAAGCCATAAATAAAGCATGTCTATGTTTCCCTCAGGTCAATCACACTGGACCTTTAAATTTGAAATGGAGTTATTTGTGTATGCCAAAATTATATATTATATAAGCTTTAGTTGACGCCCACCAATTCGCAAATACCAAATATGATTACGGACAGGGATTTGCTGGGTTTTTAAAGCGTCTAGACAAAGAATTAATGTTGCAGATTAAAAATATTCGGTTTTTAAAAAACATTTAGGACAGCCAATTAAATCTACGATTGCTCTTTTGAAATTATCCCTTTGGAAACGTTACTAATTGTAATTCCGTAAAGCAATTCAATGCTTTGTTGGTAAATCATTAATGGTATTCTTTTAAAATAACTGCAGCAATTGTCCATGAAAAGGTTTGCAAATTGTTGTCATTTAAAAAATCCTGCATGAACAGCGATGTATTCACTCATGACTGAACAGTCGTGTACATGAGTGCGTGCAGATCGTATCGAGATATTGATAAAGATGTGATAAAGCTCGAACTATCACACAAACCGATTTCCCTTATCAGAGTCTGCCCAATAGCAGCGGAGAAGGTTCACTCTCCGCACGCTGATTGACGCGTGCCATTATGTAAAGGTATATGTTGTAACCACATGGCCTTGAACATGGACGTATACCAGTGCACGCAGTTCGCTAGTTATCTGAGAGGATTCGGGGTGCAACTGATCATTGACAATCCATGCTTGTTCTTAGAGGCAAGAAATGGTATTGGGTGGTCAGGCTCCTACGGCGTGGTTGATGCACGTCGTAGTATTCCTATTGCGTAGATCAAAGCTCATGATGCTAGTCACTGGGTTGTCTGGTCCAGACTCAGTTATGCCGTAATGTTTCACCTGACGTTAAACGGGGCTCACGGGGTCTTCTCGTTTACCCACCACCTATTGTTCTAGGTGGGCAAATCACTGAAGCAGAATAAGCTGCTACACAATAGATGTCTCTTAGGTTTTGCTCCCCGTGAAATAAGACCCCCTCCATTATTACTCCCCGTGAAATAAGGTCCCCTCCATCATTGTGATTCTCATAAGGTGTGACATACATGTAGAAAATCAATTTATTTGTGTGTTCAATGCTGCACAAATATACAGTTCATTTCATCCATTTCATACATTGAACACATTTCGTACATTGAACACATTTCATACATTTCATACATTTCATACATTTCACACATTTAACACATTTCATACATTTAATACAATTCAATACCCAGTTAAATGAGAAACTGCGTCACAATATGCATACACATTCATGTTGCCACGTTAAACTACAAACCAACGGCGTTAAACAACAAACGAACTAACAAGCAAACAAACGAGGAAACAAACACGGATAAGCCCAATTAAATGTTTGGCACTCCCTTTAAAAAAAAATTAAAATCATTTAAATAGTTTCCGTTTTAATCAACTTTTGCTTTGCACTGCTTTCAGTGCCATTATGTCCTTCAGACACCTGAGCCTCGTTCTACCAAGTAGTGTTAGCTTTACGTTGACCGTAAGCATTTTCGAAAGTATGGGAATTAAGATCACCTTAGCGCTGGTATCTTTTTGTGGAACCGGATCCTGGTCTAGTTGCAGCGAGAGGGAGACCAGAGGGTTCTCAGACCAATGAATCTTCAGATTACACCGTACAAATTATAAGTTTTCTCGTGCAACATGCACCATTGCACTGGGGCCATTAACTTTCAACATTGCTCCAAGATTGTTTAATAACAAGGTGTTTCATGCAGCTAAGTAGAATATGAAATACCTAACAATAATTATTTGTCTTTTTCCGTAGTCATGGAAACGCCGCTGGATTGTGGTACATCAGATGAGCGACCTCACCAGCGGTACCTACGCTGCCAAAGTTGAGGTGTACACTGATGCCGAAACAGCCAGTCGAACGCCAGGAGACAGACAGACGTATATTCTGGATCACGTGACCGATGTTCAGCTCGCGACGTCAAAGACACGCCCCTATGCGTTTGAAATTGTAGAGACAGAACCAGTTCTAGTCTTCTCAGGGTCGTCCAACGATGAAACGTTGGAGTGGATGAACGCCTTTAAGAAAATCTTCTATCCAGAAAAACCAGGAGGAGAATACGGTAATCTTGTTTGAGTGGCATTTTAGAAGTTGAGACGTACAATATGGAACAAGTTTTTATGGATAACAACTTCTTGATTTCGTGAGTGCGACGTTTCGATACAGATTCTTGTACCGTTGTCTTGCTTGACAACGGTACAAGTATCTGTATCGAAACGTCGCACTCACGAAATAAAGAAGTTGTTATCCATAAAAACTTGTTCCATATAATACGGTAATCTGTTATTCAATGCTCAGTGGAACCGAGAGGAAAATATATAAACTATTAAGCTAGGAAAGTAGTAGTCTTGTCAGAGTGGGATTGGCTTAGGTCAGCAGTAGTTTTTCTAGTCATCTGACAGTTTGTCGACTTAATGTGTGAGAAAAGGGCAATATTATGCAAGGTTCTTGAGAGGCATATAGAAGTTGGTATTTAAGGATAAGACAAAATATTATGGATGACAACTTCTTCTGTGTTGCATACATAACATTTCTGGGCTATTCCTTGCCTCTTCGCACTTCATTCACCTGACGAAGGGGCAAGGAATAGCCCAGAAACGTTGCGTGTACAAATAAAAAGAAGTTGACATCCAAAATAGTTTGTCTTATACTAATATTATGCAAGCCATAAACGGTAGCCAACGAGCACCGGAGTGATGATGGCAGCAACAAATAATCACATTAAGGAACAATGTGAGATTCGAACCCAGGAGCAGCGGATCTTAGGACGGATGATAGGCGCAACTCTAGAAGGCAACACTGAGTATTTAAAAATGTTAGCGCAGTGAAATTATAAATTATAATAGTCATAATCGTTTTCTTTAAAATGCCTCAGTCATATTTTTGATTTCCAAAATATTATTTCAAATTACGTCTGTCAACAGGCAAGTACGAGATTAGTATCCAGCCCAACACTCACTCTGCACGATTAAACTTGGATGGGAAGTACACGCTGTCAGTGACGACCAGTGACGTGTCAATTCAGACATCAGATGGTGGTGACGTCATTAAATGGGGCCTTGGTTCCCTGAAGAGATTCCACCTGGACACCGAGCCAAACGCCAATCAGAGAAAAGTGTTGGTCATACAAAGTGGACCGTAAGTTCCTTACCACCATTCGATATTGTTATGTTTTGTTCAATCTGTAAAACGTGTTAGGTATTTGACGTTAATCTATTTACGTTTGACCATAAGACATGTCAGATGTGATTTTAAGCATGATTGCATAAAACATGCCATTTGGGAATAGGCTAATATGTCTTCAGCATAGTGAGTTTATATGGTTTTACATCGATATTAGCAATATTTCAACAGTATCACGGGAGATGACTCTAGAGATGGGCTATTTCACCCATGTGAGGAATCGAACCCGGATTCCCTTGTCAGCATTGTGGCTATAACACTATGGCTGATTAAACCCCTTGTATTCCAGAAATTCCTACACCGGAGAAGGCACATTCCGCTTTTTGTCCAGTCGTGCAGAGACTATCCTCAGTGCCATAAGAATGTGCATCAAGGAAGCGATTGGTCTTAAACAAAAGCAACGAGAGTTGATGCCTCCGGATCCCAACAGAGATAGGGCGGTGTCCTTCACCGCCAGCGAGAAGAACTTCTCTGTGTTACTTGACAGCAGCAAAGGGGATCGATCAGGGTCGATATTGTCATCGTCCTCGAAGGGGTCAACAATGTCTTCCCCAGCATGCTCCCCATCAGCGTCCGTTTCCGCCAGTCCACCTGACTTACCAGCTCGTAGAGTAGGGGACCCGAAGGGGATCCCAAAAAATGCAAGTGTTCCCAATATAGTCGGACATGGTGAGGATACAGGGTACAGCCATATTCAGGGCAAACTTAGAACCATGTCCCTCACATCTCGCACTTCCGTGTCCTCACGAGATTCGGGAGTAGTGTTCCCTGAAGCTGATGGAAAGGGGCCCGCGGAAAGAGTGAGGAAGGTTTCTGTAGAGAAAAGATGCTTCAGCAACTCTTTCGATAGTGCTGTGTCCAACGGTTCTTTCGAAGAGGCCAAGAGGAAAATCAGTGACGTTGAACAGTCCATAGAAGAAGAAAGCCATCCAATACCTATATACAATGACATTGACGAGAAACTCGTCATCAACGATTCTAAGAACAAATCAACGGATGGGAAACAAAGGAGGCATTCTACTGGTACGTGTAAAAAGGAGAACGAGTATGAGGATTTAGATAAGTTCAGGAACAAAGATAAGGAGAGTGAAGGAGCACCTGAAAAGAAGATAGAAGACATCCCTCCAGCGTTACCAGAACGGCCTCGTGTCATTCTTCTACGACAATCGTCCAAAGAAGAGTCTCCATTACAAAGAACTGGATCGGGATCTAAAGCTTTCAGACACAGCTGTATGGCCAAACTTCCTAACTTTGATCAAGGACGAAGAAGTTCTTCAGCTGACGTTGCGAATCAGGCCGGTGGAAATAATGACCTCTCAAGATCAAGCAGTAAAGACTTGTACGCATCAATTCCAGACTTAGGTTCACGAGACAGCATGGTTTCTGATGCCATTCCTATACACGATGGTCAAACACAGGCGTCTCCTTTAGGAGACGTCAATGAGGTCTGTCTAAACATCTTTGCCCCCTCTGTTGGGGACTGGAGGATTTCAACAGGAACATCTCCACTTAAAGTTATTTCCAGATCATTGCCACCTACTCCTCCAGAAACAAAACCTTCAACCCAACCTCCAGTGGAAGACCTTTTGGGCCTTGACTCTCCCCTGACAAACACAGACCAACTGCATGTTCCTCTTATTGATATTACAGAAACCGAGGACATGACTGTGACCAAACCAGCTGATTTGTTGAAAGATTTTGATCCTTTTGATAGTAACTCGATGAGCAATGACTTATTAATCCAAGGTGATTGGCCGTGTGCAGTAACCGACACTTCGGCCGATACAGGCCAGGAAAACCCTTATTTCGACATGAGTGGGAACAATAAGGACGAAACAGAATCGGAAACAGAACTCATTTATATGGCGCCTTCAAAGGAATGAACACATGAACATATTACTCCGCTAAGGCGTATGTCAGTTTCTTTTATGGGAGAGGACAACCGGCATTGAGGCTGGCTGTACACGTTGAGACACCAAGGATGACAAAGGTTGAATCCTGAATTCGAACCCGTGACCAGCAGAACCTGGCACAACAATGGGACATAACTCTGCACGGCCATAGTTCACAGGTATTGTTGTTCTGACATTTAAGACAAGACTAACTGTAGATATAATCAACACTCAGTATAATGTATCCAGATTTGTCATTAATTACACGTTTCTGCAATACACCTATATGTACATAGAGTGGTGTTATAGATGAAGATGTGCAATCTAAGAAAAAAAGTGCAATACTGTGACTCCTTCCTGAAGAAAGTAGCTTTGCCTCACAAGAATATTTAATAAGGAGAATTTGTCCGAGAATCATGTTGGTGTCATCAAGGTACAAGTTCGTAAAAATATGATATCAACGAAATTAATAAACATAAACATGCCCAAATGTGGAGTTAACCCTGGCAGATCACGAAATGATATAAAAGGTACATTGCAGCTGCTTTGATTTGCATCACTGGAGGATATGTAATGCTTCTCAGCATATCGATGTACTATTTACCCGCTTTATATTCACGCCAGTTCCAGAACATTATTTGTCGTGTGTCCGACAGGCATCCAGTAGAACATGCAAACATATAACGTTTATGAGTGAGTGAGTGAGTGAGTTTATTTTTACGCTGCACTCAGCAATATTCCAGCTATATGACGGCGGTCTGTAAATAATCGAGTCTGGATCAGACAATCCAGTGAGCAACAGCATGATCATCCATCTACACAATAGGGAACCGATGACATGTGTCAACTAAGTCAACGAGCCTGACCACCCGATCCCGTTAGTCGCCTCTTACGACAAGCATGGGTTACTGAAGATCAATTTTAACCCAGACATATCCGTAAGAGGCGACTAACGGGATAGGGTGGTCACTTGGTTGACGCATGTCATCGTATCCCAATAGCGTAGATTGATGCTCATGCTGCTGATCACTGGATTGTCTGATCCACATTCGAATATTTACGGGCCGCCACCATATAGCTGAAATATTGCAGAGCGCGGCGTAAAACAACTCACTAAACCAAACCACAGTGCTGAGCAATATGCCATTAAACCGGTTACATTAAAACGAAACATATATGAGTGGTCATATGAACCATACGGTACAAATGTGTGATATAACTGCGTCGAGGCGATATTTGAAAGCTTCGCCTACTGACTGAGTCTGTAGATGAAAATCTGGAAATAAATACTTACCTTTAGATGATTAAAATTAAATACGAATACTATAGATTGTCCAGATTGCAACAGGTCAACACAATCGATTCTTTGAGTAATTACGATAATACCCTCTTCAAATAAAGGGCATTTTTTCAAAGCTTTTCTGTGATATTTTGTGTTTGCTGGAGAATACTTTTTTCTGTAAATGCTGATTCTTGAATACGTTACCCGATTTTAAGACCAAAGCAACGAAACAGGATTTACAGTGTATGAAATAAGGCCCGTCCGACCGCCCGGGACGGGCTAGATTTCTCACGGACGGTCTAAATTTACAGTTAGTCAGCCCGATGGTCTGGTAAATATTTTAGATAACATGTTCCATACATCTGAGTATTTTTTCTCGATTGTCTGGTCTCGTTAAACCCATTTGGGATGGTAACTTTTTAAAGTTACCAGTCCTGATGTCTGGCTGGGTTTGGAGCTTATTACTATTATACTTATACACACTATTTGTTTATGAACAAGCCAGTTGATCGCGAGTTGTACATAACTATTTTAAGATAATGCACCTTTTGACCAGTTTAAAAATACTTTACCAGATGAGATTAATTGATATACAACCATATACATGTTGTTCCACGTGTGTCAGGGTTGTTCTAAGGATAGGTCAATTATCAATCAATGTATCAAACGTCAAATTTGTAATATGTATTTGTGTATCACCATGCTCATCAATAAAGTGCTATTATCCTACAGCTGTGTATTGTCATCATTTAGCTCCCCTCGGATCGTGCCCAACACACAGGGTTTCGACCAACACCGGCAGGAATCATTACTGGAAGTAGTTTATTGCACGTGATAAAAACAACCAGCAGTCTTGATCGTTATGTGGCTGTTCAAAATATTCATGTTTGATTTTGTCCACCGATTAAGTGAACTAGTACACCTCCTTCGTATTGATTCCAACGACAAAAACGACGGGATTGCCTAAAACCCGGGCCGGGGCGGGCCAACGATATTATTGGCCAATTACACCATTTTCGATAACCATGCCTGCAATTAATTAATGTAACATGCACCCTTGTCAATAATGAACAATCAGTAGCCACACACGTATACCATAATAATCTTATTGCGGGTAAACGGCTTAAAACTGGGCAAGGTTACATGTAAAAGAGGAATCGTTAACGAAAGAGGATTCATAACGTATAAATACTTCAGTCTATCCTGATACACATTTCTGTCGGCCCTGAAAAGCTTCTTCATCTATATCCAAGCAAATACCACTTCACGGGACACTGTCCATCGTAACTAAAGCATGCCCACTTGTTGAAGATAGACGTGTTTCACAGGTGTGTAAGTCTGGTCTTTGTTTTCATGTGTTTTCTAGCATGTGCAACAAACGCAAATGCTGTGGATGTGCGACATGGATTCAATACCCTTGAAATCTCGTCTGACCAGGGTTCGGGTTGTCATATTTTAATACACGCGTAAATAAGTGGTAATGGGTAAATAGAGTGCGACAACATTGACACGTATATAACATGTATTCAATAAAGAAACGTATAGCTGACAATGGTCATATATTTATGAAAGTACTGACTAACTGACTGAGTTTGGCTTTACGCCGCTTTTAGCAATATTGCAGCAACATCACGGCGGGGGACACCAGAAATGGGCTTCACACGTTGTACCCATGTGGGGATTCGAACCCGGGTCTTCGGCGTGACGAGCCAACGCTTTAACCACTAGACCCCATTTATGAAAGTAAGTTTGAGTGACACTGGACAGTGATAAAGAAAACACTATTGAACATGTATTGTCCAATGGAAGTAGACATGGGACGTAACAAATGACAAGTGCAGAAAGGTCAAGGTCACAGAGAAGTCAGTATCTTGTGTGACCACCATCAGCATCAATGGTTGCCTGCCATCGGCGTCGCATAGACTGGATAAGATTCCGGATGAACTGTCTAGGAATGTACTGATATTCTTCCCGCAAAGCCAGAAACAAGGCAGCTAAGGTCTGCGGCTGGGGATCACACTATCTCACACGTCCATCCAGTTCGTCACACAAATATTCAATTGATAACAGATCTTGTGATCGGGAGGGCCATTCAAGAACCTGAACGATGTTCTGAGCAAGAAAATCTCTGGTTAATCTTGCTGTATGCAGTCGAGCATTGTCATGTTGGAACTTGACGTGTTGGTGGTTCATGAATGGAATGACATGAGGCCTGATGATTTCATCACATGAATGTAGGGTTGTAAGATAGTCTTTGACGTGAATAAGACCGGTTCTTCCACTGTATGGGATGCCTGCCCAAACAATAACACTTTCTGTTCGCAATCGGGAGCATACCGTTCATGACGCCGCATGTACAGTCGTGCTCCTCCGTCAGGAAGCCTGAGCATAAACCGCGACTCATCACTGAACACGATAGTTCTCCACCTCTGTAATGGCCACTGGAGATGGTTTCGACACCACTGTCTACGTTGGAGTTGGTGCCGATGCCAAAGCTTTCCTGTGGTACTCTGGGACACATTCAATTACCTTGCAAACGCTGTATGTGACTCACCAGCTTCCAAATGACCGATCACATTGTTGCGCCAAGCCTTGGTAAGTCGAGGCATCACTTCACTTCAAGAATTACGTTTGCCAAATGCCGTCAAAACAATCAGACCCACTTGTCTTTATTGCAAAGTTTGCATAGATTGTGCATGCATGGGAAAGCGCATGAATCAGGTTTTTCAATGGCAATGGATTCAAACTCGGTAATGGTTGGAGCCACGTTCACCATAGACATACTGATTAGACACACACTTACGGTTCATTTTCGAAACATTACATGGAAAAATACTGGACTCAACCCAACAAAAAGCACCAGAATCGGAACTTTACTGAGAAAGTGTAATCCCAACATCTGCTACATTCGATCACTTCCATATGGCGTTGTGTATCCATAACTCTTGAATACTGGTGACCTCTTCTGTCCTGGAATCCCCAAAGTAAGACAACTGTTATTACTGGTGACCTCCGCTGTCCTGGAATCTGTTACACACTGCTGTTAGATTTAGACCAGACAAACAATTAACTCACAAAAAGAGGCAGCAACCATGGTACAACACCATGCATCTGCTAAGTCCGAGTGCCTGGCCACTCAATCGCCAATTCATTTCGTCTCTCTACATTAGGTGTCTCTTTGTCTGTGTGCCTCTCTGTGTCAGCATGTCTTTACGTGTGTGTGTTTGTGTTTGTGAGTGTGTGCACAGGTGGGTGTCTGTGTGTGTTGTTAAACCATAACTCACGTAAGGCAGAACAAACGCAAATCAGTCTCTGTTTCAATTGGCTTTTATTTTCCAGAAATGTACCTGCAAACTGTCTTTCCTAAAGACATACAACATTCAGGTGCAATGGAAATGTTTCCATACTATAGTTACACTTGGAAGTACAACAGTTAAATTGTATAGTCAGTTCAACTGAGTACAACAGCTTTGATCACCACTGACCGAGTCGTAAAATACATCCCACAGGGATCAAATCATAGGCGGATCCAGAGGTTCCCTCACCTTTTGTCCTGAAAGTTTATTAAATGACCATTGAAACGCTCGTGAAAACGGGTGAAAATGAACTGTGTAACCCCCTTTTCTCAAAAAGCTGTATCCACCCCTGCAAATCAACCCTTTTCCAAAATATACCAATTCAGCATAATCAAAAACACACAGATAAGCATGTCTTAGCAAGTCATGTCAGAGTAAGGTTCGAGTAGCTTCTGCATCAACAATAACATCACAGTATAATTGGTGGGAACACAAAACATTACAGTATAATAGGTGGAATGAAACAGATAAAACATTCACACAACAAGGATACATCTTCTGCAGCATGCTTTGGTCAATAGGTGAGGTGAGGTGAAATTGGGTTTTACATCGTGCTTGAGAATATTTCGCTCATATGACGACGTGCATGCGCGTGTATGTGTATGTGCGGCTGCTTGTACTAGCCTAGACTTAAGCTGGTTTCATACTTCTAGGCCACTGAGATACCATGCATAAATACCCTACTCAGACACATTATACTGACTCCGAGCAGACCAGTCCTTGCATGTTGTACCCATTAATGCCGAGCGCCAGGCAGGGACCAACAAGTACCATATTGTAACGTCTTTTGGTATGACGCGGTCGGGGATCGAACGCGCGACCTTCCGCTCTCCGGGCGGATGCTCTAACCACTACACCACGGAGGCGGTCTTTGGTGAATAAGGCCATGAAATCAATAATGTTTGTAATTATCACTAAAAATATGCAGTTGGCAGAGCTGCAGTGAAATGAGATTTGAAGATCAGCTCTGTGGGGGCCAAGTTGACACTGCATTATCTTTTTTTGCTCACACAATGCAACACAATGCGTACAGTGTTCTGCCTCGTGTTGTTGGCCGAGGTGACCTAAGATGACAAGCAGGAAGTACTACTTTTCAACCAGTGTTTGTAAAAGAAAGTAATGCGAGGATGGTATCAGGACAAACAGATCTTAAAAGCAGGTCTTGATTATATTCTTCAGGCCATACATAAAAACCCCAGCTTATTGGGACAAATAAACAGACACATAAGTTTACTACTGGGCATAACGACACATGCAACTGTGAAATTACCTGCAGACTTAAAATCTGTCTGGGGCCTGAGGGCAGGGGCTGATTTCGAACTTGACCATACTTATATTTCTAATACAATATAAAGTAACTGCCTGAAGGAAGTAGTGAGTGAGGTCTTTTCACGCCGCTTTTAGCAGTTTTACAGCGATATCACAGCCGGGGACACCAGAAATGGGCTTCACATTGTACCCATGTGGGGAATCAAACCTGGGTCTTTGGCGTGACAAGTCAACAAGGCTACCCCCTGTTGGAAGTAAATCACTACTGTACATCCTTATCACTACCCCCTGTTGGAAGTAGCATCAAAACTAGACATATACAGTGTGAAACCTCTTTATTCTGGATCTCAGTAATCGGAATAAGAGCCAACCTATTACATGATTACTGCTTGGAATGACAACACACAGAAACAAGTAACTCTGCAACCTGATTTGGTAACCTGGGTGAGAAACATCATTCTTGATTAACACAGTTTCATTGAAAGAAATCGTAGAATATACTACTCAAAAGAATTTAGAAACACCAGATCATTTCATATTACTACATCAAATGTTTACCTTCCATTAACAGTATCTATACTAATCAGTCATCTGCTAAAAATATACCAGTTTGTATATTTTGCATAATAAGATAATATCTAATTTTGAAGATGCTTAAAATCACTTGAATTATGTCACTTAACACTGACTGAGCTAGTCTACAAATACAAGCGGTGGGTACTGGTGATATGTTTGAATGGTCATCAGTCAGGATGCATTTGTGGTTGCTATAGAGATTATGAAAGTACATAAACTATTTTAAACATGTTGTCACTGTGATAGTTATGGTTTAAGGTTTATTTATCCAAATGTTTTTTCGTCAAAAGCAATTTCTTTTTTGGGGGGCCTTGTTAACCAGCCAAAATAAATACTTATTCTTGTCTTCTTTGGTTGGCATTCTAGAAGTTGAGGAAATGAAGAATGAAGACAATATTTTTTTTATGGATATACGACTTCTTTATTCTGTAAAGGCATTGTTTCGACATAGATTCTAACTTGCTTGACAATGACATTAGAATCTATGTCGAAATGTCGCCTATACAGAACAAAGAAGTGGTATATCCATAAAAGCAAGGTCCTCATTCTACTTATTCTTGTGGTTACTCCTGTCCATCTGGAAAAAACAAATTGTCCAGGTATTTTTATATTTCCTGCTTGTAGGTTTTGGTAGAATCTGTGACTGTATGAAAATATGAAAGCCATTGCCTAAGCTTCACCTTGATTCAGACAAAATATTCATGCATATAATTGGACTTATGATTATTATTGCCCTTTTGATTATTATAAACAATGAGTTGATCCTCTCAGTGAGACGGCTCTGTACACTGTCTTCAGTTAAAGCATCTTTGAAAATTTGATTATCTTGTAAACAATTTTAACATTTTATGATGGATTATGGAATGTGATTATTATTAAAGCAATACAATCATAGGAATGACTTTTAACAAAACAGAAACACATTTCCAGACATATTTTGCTGAATTTAACACTGACATATAGACAGCAATATGCTGAATTGTATATGAAAATTGATTAATACAAGCACAGACCATACAATAAGATCTTATCACATGATCTCTGAAACAAGGCAATACCATGGACACAGATATCTCTAGAGAGTAGTTGATAGCTCCTTGTGTTATGAAGGCTCTCCTAAGTTGTCTCCCTTTGCACACTATTTCGTGAGAACATTTACCAAATCTCAACAAATAGTTGAATGTGCATCAGGTTCAGCATTAGCTTTTGCATCATTACTAATACTAACATTTAATTTGTTAAGTATTGTAAGTGCTGTCAGTAAGTAGTTCATACAAAAACATTAGCAAACAAATAAATATTATATCTTGTACTATGATCTAATACACAAATAAGGCTTGTCAACTGTCCACAGCCAATGACACAGTATCTGTATGATGAATTTGTTTGGATTCTTTTAATATAAATAACTAAAAATAAACTTTGAACATAAACAAAAAATACTAAACATACCTGGTAACATATATTTTGATGAATATGCAAGGTGTTTGACTTTGCTCAATGAGTGTTTAACAAAGACAGACAGCAATAACAGGCCTACCCACATGTTCCAGATGATATTTCCTCTAATAAGAGCTCACTTCATAAGGCATGGATGAAGGAGTGAGTGAGTATGGTTTTACGCCGCTGTTAGCAATATTCCAGCAATATCACGGCGGGGGACACCAGAAATGGGCTTCACACATTGCACCCATGTGGGGAATCGAACCCCGGGTCTTCGGCATGTCGAGCGGACACTTTAACCATTAGGCAACCCCACCGCCCGCATGGATGAAGGAGGTAAGATTGATATATGATCCAATATTTTCCAGACCATAACTTCTCTTTAAACAAATTCTTTTATTGGCCTGTTCAGAAGTTGGTGAATCAGATAACGACAAACTTTATGGATGAGCACCATCTGATTAAAGAACTTGTTCATGCATAACGTGTCTCCTAATCTCTCTTAAAACAGCCTGCTCTATAAGGACTGGGTGAAATCTGAAAGTTTGAAATAAACGCACAGTTTCAGGTGATGGTTAGTAACCAGTACATTTGAGCATCATAAAGATTCTCAACTAAACTGTCCCCATCACAGATACGGAGAGAACAAGGGCAAGGTCTTTGACTAAACCTGTCCCTGACATGGTCAAAACGGTAGAACAAAGGGCCTTGGATCTCAATAGTGGAAATATATGCACTGTTTGTGTGATGAGCAAGATTAACACTTGTAATCAGTGACAAGACATATCTACTTGTTTACATTCACACATTTCAGTTCCTATTGTGACACCATTTAGCTGTGTGATGCCACTCTCAGTGATATTCCTGCTATACGACAGTGACATCTAGTGTTTGGGTTTGTATCTTCCATCAGGGTGCAATGAGTCTCATCGACCACTGAGTCTGACCACCGAGTCTGACCACTGAGTTTCATCGACCACTGACTCTCATCGACCACTGAGTCTGACCACTGAGTCTCATCGACCACTGAGTCTCATCGACCACTGAGTCTGACCACTGAGTCTCATCGACCACTGAGTCTGACCACTGAGTCTCATCGACCACTGAGTCTGACCACTGAGTCTCATCGACCACTGAGTCTGACCACTGAGTCTCATCGACCACTGAGTCTGACCACTGAGTCTCATCGACCACCGAGTCTCATCAACCACTGAGTCTGACCACTGAGTCTCGTCTGACCACTGAGTCTCATCGACCACTGAGTCTCATCGACCACTGAGTCTGACCACTGAGTCTGACCACTGAGTCTCATCGACCACTGAGTCTGACCACTGAGTCTCATCGACCACTGAGTCTGACCACTGAGTCTCATCGACCACTGAGTCTGACCACTGAGTCTCATCGACCACTGAGTCTGACCACTGAGTCTCATCGACCACTGAGTCTGACCACTGAGTCTCATCGACCACCGAGTCTCATCAACCACTGAGTCTGACCACTGAGTCTCGTCTGACCACTGAGTCTCATCGACCACTGAGTCTCATCGACCACTGAGTCTGACCACTGAGTCTGACCACTGAGTCTCATCGACCACTGAGTCTGACCACTGAGTCTCATCGACCACTGAGTCTGACCACTGAGTCTCATCGACCACTGAGTCTGACCACTGAGTCTCATCGACCACTGAGTCTGACCACTGACTCTCATCGACCACTGAGTCTGACCACCTGCTACATAAAGTCGTACCACAAACAAAAGAGGCTGGTCACCTTTTCCACCTAGAATTCCACTTGGGCAGAGATGACAAACCTTTTATCGAAGTCAGTAAAATATATATTAATTAACTAAAACTTCTTAGGCCTCATCATATTTTTCCAGTTGGTATTTGAAACTGATAAACAAGTTACTCTGAAATTACAAGAAATAAATAAGACGTCTGACAAAAACATTTTAGATAATTCTGTTACACAAGTAGAAAAAAAAATATGTGATTCTATCTTTGCTGTTGATAAGAAAGGCTGAGTATGAAATATCTTCATTCTAAAAGATTCAAATACAATCAGTTATCTATTGTTAACATTTCACAATCATTCTTCCATTCGCAATCTTAATTTCACTTTATTTGATTTACTTTTCTGTTTAAAGTGAAATTCATCGGTACGTTTTCACTGCAAACAGACCATAGTTTGGTTTTCATTTCTGAGTATCAGAGGAAGTTGAAATATTTTATTTATGATATTGGGAATGCACACAGAATTTGTAAACCAACTAATACAAACCGCCTTACCACAGTCATCTATTTCTGTACAAACACACAGAACAGGTACAAAAGAACTTAAAAACATCAGACTTTTTTTACATGACTACAGTTGATTTGTCATAGCTAATGGGCACTTCAACCTTTAGCCTTCCAAATGAGGGTGTTTTTCATCCTGGTTTGAGTATTATATTTAGTGAATATGTCATAATTGTGAACAGGAAATTGAAAGACATTCATTACCATATGAAAGGATATCTCTTCCTGTGATAAAAATATAATTTTCAGGAAGTGATATTGTTCAAGATGTATCGACGATATTAGCTTCTACTTCCATATTAAACTTCACCAATACATTTCCTTGTCTACATTGCTTCAGACAGGACACCGATGTAGATATAACATGCACCAAATAGCACAAGTGTTTCATATACTGTACAAACATGGCTTAACAGAAAATAAAGTCTCTTTGATTATCATTAAAAACAAAAAAGCATGCACAATAAATAAAATAACATATCTACAGGTTATGCACACACATTTCAAAGTGCATGGTCAAGATAGGCTACAGTTCTGTGTTCAAAATATTAAAAAAACATGCACAGAAAAAGTTACTATATGTGTGAATACCTTGGTAAAACTGTGTTTTTTCCTTCTACTTAGACACTAATACACAGTGCATCAGCAAAAACTATCCACCGAGAAGACACCTATTTTCACATGCTTTCATTGGTGTTTTTATAACAATAATGATCAAAACTATTTAATGACAGTTTTTAAAACCTTAAATTAATACCTAAGACAATAGTCAACTTCAAAGCTTCCCAACTATATATTTTCAATACACTTCTTAATTTTATTTGTAATTACCATTTGAAAGACTGGACTTGAAGAAAAAACTATATTATACATATATTTAAAACATCAATATCAACAAATATTTGACATGTTATTTTACAAAGTGACACTATTACTACTGATAATCAAAGTTAAAAATCACATCCAAAAATACCTCTACCTTTTTGTGACACCTGTATTTTATTTAAGTAGCCTAAGGCAAGTTTTCAGTCAAAAGCACTGTTGAAGAAGGGTAGTTACATCATGAAATCTGTGACTGAATATTTTCCTGTTTAACAAATTAATGTTAATCATGCAGTTTAATAAATATATGACATGCATACATGGAGTGATCTACATTGTTCACCTTATAAAGTTCAACTACATCAATATAGCAGGCTATGTATAGTATGTGTTATCAATATTTACAAAACATCAAAAGACTTAAACAGAATCTTCATTTGGGAAACAGTGAGCGAGTGAGTTTGGTTTTACGCCGCTTTTAGCAATATTCCAGCTATATCACGGCAGGGGACACCACAAATGGGCTTCACATATTGTACCCATGTGGGGAATCGAAACACGGGTCTTCGGCGTGACGAGTGAACGCTTTAACCACTACACTACCCCAGCGCCCCTTGGGAAACTGACTGACTGACTGACTGAGTTTGGTTTTACGCCGCTTTTAGCAATATTCCAGCAACATCACGGCGGGGGACACCAGAAATGGGCTTCACACATTGTACCCATGTGGGATTCGAACCCGGGTCTATGGCGTGACGAGCCAACGCTTTAACCACTAGGCTACCCCACCGCCCCCCTTGGGAAACAGTAAATGATGTATTGAATATGAATTCCTTTGTGATAGGTCTGTTTGGACACAGTATTCAAATTATATCATGGCATGTAAGCTTGATGTGGGAGGAGAGACAAGTGATGCAGGTCGTAGATATTTATAACTGACAAACATAGCAATATAATCAGGATGAATCTAGGATTCAAAACCACACAGGTTCCCGACATACCTAAGGGAGGTAATTCATATATGGACTGTGTTGATGATCAGAAGGTAGTTTTGATGCAGGGCCCTTATTCTTGAAACGTTCGTAGCCCCAAGAATTCTTAACTTTGATCATAGCCAAGGTGTTAAGAATGGGCTTAAGAAGTTCTTAGGGCTACAAACGTTTCGAGAATAGCTAGTCAGGTCGTAAATATTCATAACTTTGGTGAAACCCACAATCATGGGTATGGCGCTGACAAACACTCAATATGATCAGGATGAATAAACAATTCAATACCACATAGGTTCCTGGCATACCTAAGGGAGGTAATTCATTTATGGACTGAAGGTATTTGTTTACAAATAGACAATGGAATATTACAACAGGCAATAAATATATAGGGCATGGGTCAGACATGAAAGTGACTGAAAGAATGAATATGGTGCCATGCAGTCAGCACTGATGGTACACAGAGTGTCCGACTGAAGTGAGCATCTACTGTGTCCACACAGCTCTAACGCTTCATCATCAGACCCTTCCCTCAGTGATGAACTTTTCATATTGTCTGCGATCACAGGACCAAGGGAATGGATCCAGCGGTTAGTGTAGGCTTACCGAAATGTGAGCCCTGGGTGCCGTTGTACAAAGTAACCTTCATGTCTTCGAATGGCACTTAGATGCAACCTTAGCGTTTCCCCAGTCGTAAGTCTATGTTATGGTATGGGAGTTACGATCACCTTAGCGCTAAGTTGGGTTGGGTATTGCCAAAATTTTCGGATTGCGATATGTTGTGATATGGTTTGGCGTATTGCAATATGTATTGCAACATATTGTTAAAGTGTAACACATGGGTTAAGGTAATGAAATTATTGTTTCCTTTCTTATGAAACAATGCCACTGGCCACTGTCAGGAATTGTACAAGAGGTGTAATTGTACAAGAGATCAATTGAAAATGTTTCCAAATTGAAGACTTCGCTCGAGAAAAAGCTTCTGCAGTGGCGTCTGCCATTTTGGTTTGCCGGTACCAATCTATTTATTTTTATCTATATGGTTTAAAAGTCACGCATATGCAAATATATGAACAATAACATTCTCAAAACTATTAATGTATAATAATATAAAGGAAATACAAATGTTATTAGTAGTTTTGACTACATCTACAATTACCGATATCGGGTGAACCTGTTCGCGAAAAGTGTACTGCAATATATCATATTGTGAAGTTCGAATTGCAATATACCGGTAAACTGGTATTATCGCCCAACCCTAGCGCTAAGATCACTTTGTCCAGCGGCACCCTGGAGATATAGAGGATGTCGCTTCTTGAGAGACAACTCGGCTTAGTCATGTTAGATGCAGAAAGAAGGTTCATAAACATAAAGTGTTTCCTGCATTAGTTTTCTTTAACAAGTTTAATAACAAATAATTTTCTGTAATATTTTTTGGTTGTTTGAACAAATAATGTCTAATTACACTAAACTCTGTTTTTCTATTTAATGTGATCTAAAGGAATGTTCATATACTCATAGATATACAATCTTTGAAGTCATGTTGAACCTGCAACACAACACAGATGGGTATGTAACTTGAAAATGTTAAACACGTCCAAACAACAAAAGAAACTATCCATTCACTCAAACTTGTGCTCTTCTGAAAATGTTTCAAACATTCTGATTAAACGATCGAGACTACTTCTAATTTCTTGCTTATCAACAAATTCACTGATAAATGATCAAAATGTACATATATCAATAAAAAAGAATCAGCCTGACGTTTTGATATCTGTGCAAAAATGTTACACACGTTTTTGTCATTATCAGCCTGTATTCCTTATTCCAGAACAAAGGTCAAGGCCGTATTCCTTATTCCAGAACAAAGGTCAAGGCCTTATTCCTTATTCCAGAACAAAAGGTCAAGGCCATATTCCTTATTCCAGAACAAAAGGTTAAGGCCGTATTCCTTATTCCAGAACAAAAGGTCAAGGCCATATTCCTTATTCCAGAACAAAAGGTCAAGGCTGTATTCCTTATCCAGAACAAAGGTCAAGGCCGTATTCCTTATTCCAGAACAAAGGTCAAGGCCGTATTCCTTATTCCAGGACAAAGGTCAAGGCCGTATTCCTTATTCCCGAACAAAGGTCAAGGCCTGTATCCCTTATTCCAGAACAAGAGGTCAAGGCCGTATTCCTTATTCCTGAACAAAAGGTCAAGGCCGATGTAAATATTGCATGCCTCATGATACAACATGCCTGGGTACACTATCCTTCTCGGTTAACAAATAATCAAAAATAATAAACAATTTGTGTATTCGTAAATGAAATGATATCATGGGAAAGACAATGGTTTCCTATAAGGAGCAATATGTGTCGGTGTTAGTGTCAAGTCCCCTTGCTTGACCTTGAACTTGCTCTGTCTGGCTCTCCACTTCGCCCTCCTCCTCCGCAACACTTCCCCTTCTTCCTTGGTTCGTCTTTGCGGCGGAGGTTGACCGTACTGCCGTAACGTTGATTGCTGAATTCTTCTGGAGGCAGCTCTTTTGCTGAGAACAACAGACATATTAGACAATGATTTAAGTTTAAACTTGTATAATGTAGTTTCTTGAAAAATAATTGAATCTAAAGGCCATAGAAATTGCTGTAAATATAACACTATATCATGAATATCTATGGCACACTTTATAATTTGTAACTAACTTAAATGTGCCTAGACCATGACATATCTCATTACTCCAGTCAATGAATCAATGTTTATAAATGAAATATTTAAACTCCCCAACAAGCATACAACCTAAGCAGCCTGTGAGGAGCTTACTGTACTAATTGTTACGAGAGTGTGTTTTTGTAATTTGTATTAACATTGATAAAGTGATAGTTATTATTGGGTCAGAATGTTTAAAGTTTTGAGTGTGGGTTGCGGCTCACATTTCGCATCATGTATGTTCAATGGCAATACTATTTTAGCGGTACGCCTTTTTTGGTAGCGCTTCAGAGTTGCCTCCTTTGAGGCAATCTTTTGTATAACTATCTGCTTTGACCGGTGGTAAACGTGAGGCCGATCGGGAAAGTTCTGGGAGAATAATGATACAGCCACGGTTTGCTCGAAAGTTCTAGAATCTGTGTCAGTATATATAAAGGCTGGTCATTGTGTTGTGCTACACGGAATCACACACGGACTAACACACAGAATCACACACGACTAACACACGGAATTACACGGGACTAACACACGGAATCACACACAGACTGACACACGGAATTACACGGGACTAACACACGGAATTACACATTGAATTACACACACGGAATCACACACGGACTGACACACACGGACGGGACTAACACGGAATTACACGGGACTAACACACGGAATTACACGGGACTAACACACGGAATCACACACAGACTGACACACGGAATTACACGGGACTAACACACGGAATTACACGGGACTAACACACGGAATCACACACAGACTGACACACGGAATTACACGGACTAACACAACGGAATTACACGGGACTAACACACGGAATCACACATCGGACTGTTGTTGTGTTAACACACCTCACGGAATCACACACGGACTAACACATGGGAATCACACACGGACTAACACTTCCACGGAATCACACATGGACTGACACACGGAATTACACGGGACTAAACACGGAATTACACATTGAATTACACACGGACTAACACGGAATCACACACGGACTGACACACGGAATTACATGGGACTAACACACGGAATTACACGGACTAACACTATCACACACGAATCACACACGGACTGACACGGGACACGGAATTACACGGACTAACACACGGAATTACACGGGACTAACACACGGAATACACGGACTAACACACGGGACTGACACACGGAATTACACGGGACTAACACACGGAATTACACGGGACTAACACACGGAATCACACACGGACTGACACACGGAATTACACGGGACTAACACACGGAATTACACGGGACTAACACACGGAATCACACACAGACTAACACACGGAATTACATGGGACTAACAGCGGAATTACGGGACTAACACACGGAATCACACACGGACTGACACACGGAATCACACACACGGACGGGACTAACACACGGAATTACACGGGACTAACACACGGAATCACACACGGACTAACACACGGAATTACACGGGACTAACACACGGAATCACACGGGACTAACACACGGAATCACACGGGACTAACACACGGAATCACACACGGACTAACACACGGAATTACACGGACTAACACACGGAATCACACGGGACTAACACACGGAATCATACACAGACTGACACACGGAATTACACGGGACTTTTCATATCACTGGAGTTGTGCCTACCGTTACATCTGTCTGCCTTCGTCTAGCTGACCTACATTCAAGAGTGACGGCCTGACTTCTCATTGTGAACTACCTTCATTCAGTGTATCTGCTCTAACTAAATTTCAAGGCTCGTGGTGAGTTGATGTGTTATATTTGTCAATTGCATTGTACTAGAAATCTGTATTGTGATTTATTGTAGCTTGCTCATTGTTTGCTCAATATATAATAGAATATGTTAGACTTGTCTGTGTTATATTTTGCTGGTTCAAAGGGGATTCTTAAACCTTTTGTCACGGCGATTTATTAACCGTAACACAATTTACAGCTGAGTGAGTGAGTGAGTGAGTGAGTGAGTGAGTGAGTGAGTGAGTGAGTGAGTGAGTGAGTGAGTGAGTGAGTGAGTGAGTGAGTGAGTGAGAGTGAGTGAGTGAGTGAGTGAGTGAGTGAGTGAGTGAGTGTGTTTAGTTTTACGCCACACTCAACAATATTCCAGCTATATGGCGGTGGTCTGTAAAATAATCGAGTCTGAACCAGACAATCCAGCAAAAGCATTGATCTAAAACATCAGATGATTTTATGGTGCTTCAGACAGACAAATCAAATTGGGACATCTGAGGATCTTAATTCTTGAAAGGATATTCTTCTAAATCATTAACAACTTTGAAATATATCTTGACACATTTGGGATGAAAACCTGTCACATGCCAAGTACAGATAAGGGCAGGTAACATGCTTTACATGTATGGCAATACAGGGGAATGATTGGTTGGTTGGTTTGTTGTTTAACGCTGCACTCAGCAGTATTCCAGCTATATGGCAGCAGTCTGTAAATAATCGAGTCTGGATCAGATAATCCGGTGATCAATCTACGCAGTTGGTCAACCAAGACAGCGAGCCTGACCCCGATCCCGCTGGTTGCCTCTTACGACAAGCATTGGTTGCTAAAGGCCAATTCTACCCTGGACCTTCACGGATGGCATGGGAATGAGAAGCTTGAAGCTACATGTAACATGTAAAACCTTTCTGGTGGACAACTTGGGCAAGAAAGTACACTCAATGGGTTTATTTGTTACTATCAAAATGATATATGTCCAGAGACTAAGGCTCCCTTTCAATTTACATGGGTTGATCACAATTATATACTGACATATATTCAGAGATTAAGGCTCCCTTTCTGATTAATACTATGATCCAGATGATCGTATATACTTCCTGTTGAGACACACACATGTGGAAAGTGCATTAGTTGTTTATGTCCAGATATATCAAACACGAAATAATGATCAACTAGTCTCCCAAAGTCATTGATTGTGACAACTACCAACTGGCCTGTGTTAGGTACAATAACCATGAGATTACAATAGGTGAGGTGAAATTGGGTTTAACCTTGTGCTTGAGAATATTTCGCTCATATGACGACGTGCATGCGTGTGTGTGTATGTGCGGCTGCTTGAACTAGCCCAGACTGAAGCTGGTTTTATAGTGCTAGCCCACTGAGATACCATGCCGCAGTGAAGCATGAATACCCCACTCAGACACATTATACTGACTCCGAGCTGACCAGTCCTTGTTGTACCCATTAATGCCGAGCACCAGGCAGGGACCAACAAGTACCATATTTTAACGTCTTTTGGTATGATGCAGTCGGGGATCCCGCGACCCGCGACCTTCCGCTCTCCCGTCGGACGCTATAACCACTACACCACGGAGGCGGTCTTGAGATTACAATAAAGCTGGATAGTGAGTAGGTTGGGTTTTATGCTGCTTTTAGCAATATTCCAGCAATATTATGGTGGGGACACCAGAAATGGGCTTCACACATTGTAATCATGTGGATAATTGAATCAAAGTGAGTGAGTGAGTTTAGTTTTACGCCACACTCAGCAATATTCCAGCCATATGGTGGCGGTCTGTAAATCTTCGAGTCTGGACCTGACAATCAAGTGATCAACAGCATGAGCATCGATCTACGCAATTGGGAATCGATGACATGTGTCAACCAAGTCAGCGAGCCTGACCACCCGATCCCGTTAGTCGCCTCTTATGACAAGCATGGGTTACTGAAGGGTCATTCTAACCTGGACCTTAACGGGTTTGAACCCAAGTATTCAGCGTGATGACTGAATGCTTAGTGAACCACTCGTCTACCCCAATGCCCCCTCATCAAGATAGGATCTTGGTCCGACTTACATATGGCATCAAACAGTTGAGGTACATTGACTGCTGTCAGGGCGCTTGTTTCACAGAATATGGCGTTAATGTCTTTGGCATAGTCTTGGGCATCTGCAAAACATATAGTTTATAATGTACAAAATGAGTAACAATACAATCTCTAAGGAGATAACATTTGATCTCACACAAGTAATATCTGGATGATAAATATGATTAACACAAAACATGAATGTTTTTTTTAAATCTCTCTCTGGCGGTGGTCTGTAATTAATCGTGTCTGGACCAGACAATCCAATTATCAACAGCATGAGCATCGTTCTACTCAATTGGGATACGGTGACATGTGTTAAACCAAGTCAGCGAGCCTGACCACCTGATCCCAATAGTGCCTCTAAAAACAAGCATGGGTTGCTGAAGACCAATTCTAAAATGGATCTCCATATATTGACATAAAGCACTCACCCTTTTTCCTGACTTCCCTGAGATCCTCCAAGTCACACTTGTTTCCAGCTATCGCTATGACGATATTCGGTGACCCTTGCCTTCTCAACTCTTGGACCCAACTTTTTACTGATCTGAACGTGGACTGAAATACAGAGCAAACGTGGTACACCTCTACACCAATCACATCACTGATTTAAAGAACATTAGTTAACGTGACTAAAACATCTGACTTCAACAACAAATACAAGGAGCTACAACCTTGCAATATTGAGCAGTTGTTGGATTAGAATTCCAGAAATGGGTGACTTGATAACAAGCATACAACTTTATGGATAACGGTGTATGAATCTACACCGAAAAACCTTGCTCTATGCAATAAACAAGAAGTTGTTATCCATAAAGTTGTATGCTTCAAAATTCAGCAGCACAATGCAATTATCAAGACTTGATCACAGGCAAACATTCAGATCAAAAATCTGCAGCTATTGATAATGATCATTCCCTCTTTGAAAGAAAATGTCTATAATTTTCAGAATTAATGAAAAGAGCATTAAATATAAACATTAGAACAGTCTTTTTTTCCTATTTTGCCTGCCAAGGCCACTCCGTTTGGATTCCTAGAAAAATCATGTTTGTCAGCCTTCTGTTGAAACTGGGACCAACTGGTGACCATGGAAATCCCAGAAATACAAACGTTAAAGGTCATATGCAACGTAAAACACAACTTTGCAGATTCTGATACCTTTCGGTATGGACTTACAGTAACAAATTATCAAAAATGCAAATTCAACTTATAAAGTTGAAAAATAACGCGATGAAAATCAGAAGTTCAAACGATTCACTAAATCAACCCCAGCTGGGTGAAAAGTGGTTTCAACAGCTGTGCTGCACTGCGCTCATGGCGCATGCGTAGTGAATAGGTTCGTGCAGCTTGGAAGAAGCGGGATGCCCGGATTATAAGGTTGTGAGCAGGAGAAGTCTAATCTTGTTTGTGTACACAAACAACTACTCCTATCATAAAACAACCTTGTTAAGGATCTAGATCTACTCAGCTATGTGTCAACCAGTGAGGCGTCTGACATTTAAAGACGGAAAACCTTCGCTGGCGGTGAGCACTCGTAGTAGGCTTTGATGTGAGCTATTTTTCTAATGTTTTGTTGATATTTGACAGTTGTGAGCTTTTTAAATGTTAAGACTGGAGATTACCGATTTATATAATTTCATTTGACTATTTCACCACACGTTCTTCTTACCAAGTCACTTTCTCAGTTCGATACTTAACATCAACATCATTATTTAGCATTGTCAGAATTTCTAACTGTGATATAGATATGCCCATGTCACAGACAAAACTCAATGTCTGTTTTATTGACACCTATGTGTCTGCCTGCCTGTCTGCTAATGACAATATGCAATACACAACTTCGATCACTGACCACATGCATTTTGAACTTAACACCAATCAGGCTATACACCATAAACAAAACGCATTGATTTATGGCTCATGTATCCGAGTTCTGTCTCTGTCACATTATGTAATTACACAGACAGGCAGGTGTGATACTTGTGTCTGTTGATTGCAAAATGTTATACAAAACATGAGCATGTATCTACAAAACCCATGATCTCTATACACACACAAAGAGTGTATCGGCAAATGAACCAGCCAATGAAAGTTTTCGTTACACTTAAGTGCACTTAAGTACCCCTCTCTGACTGGGTTCGGTATCCTGGGTGCTTCGTTTCTTCGACAAAATATTGCACTTTTGATTTGCGATTGTACGCTTATAAATTTTCATAATTATCAATGTATATTATCTGTCATGAATGAATGATAATTATGTTTTATTTATGTTTGTTGTTTCGGTTGCATGTGACCTTTAATGTATGCTAGCTCAAAAAGACACCTCTGTTTGATGCAGTCAATCAGTGAAGAGCCAGTAGATAAGTATCATTTGAACTATTTCTCTCTTCTAGAAGAGCCTTCTACTTTGGATCTGACGCTTCCTATGTATGACATGTTTGAAAGCCTACATTGTAACCTCATGGATTCTTGTGCATACCATCAACCAATGGGCGCCTGGGCCACATCTGATTATAGACAGCCTTCTGTGATGCAGCACAAAAATACTGTTCACTCACTTACCTCTCGTGTCACATCATAGACTATAATGGCGGCGGCGGCAGCTCCCCGATAGTACATAGGTGCCAAGGCTCGATACTGAAACACAAGTCAATATTTGTGTACCAGAATGACAGCAGTGAGTGAGTGAGTTCAGTTTAAGCCACTTTTAGCAATATTCCAGCAATATCACAGCAGGGGACACCAGATATGGGCTTCACACATTGAACCCATGTGGGGAATCGAACCCGGGTCTTTGGTGTGATGAGTGGATGCTTCAACCACTAGGCTACCCCGTCACCCCCAAAATGACCGGAACTTTGAATATCACATCCTTTACAAGCTTATTGTTGTCAAAAAGTCTGGTAATAGGTATCTGTGTCATTCACAACAGCCTCGAAATTGGGAGGTGGCCATGTTAAAACAATATATACATTATAGTATATATATATATATATGTAATTTTTAGAGTAAAATTGATATTTTATACTTATCCTGACTCATGCTCTTTTGCTTGTCTTCTTCTTCTTGCGAACTTAGTGGAAACACTTGTATCTCCCTAATTGAAGCTCCCTTCAATGTAAAATCACTAATTAGTACTCACCACGAGTTACCCCCTTTCCACAAGCGCGGGAAACGAGGGCGCCACCTTCACCCATGTGCCTCACTCTCTCCTCATATACTGAGCCCAACATTTGAATTTACAGGGAAATCCAAAGTGTTATGTGGGGAGGATGGGAGGGCTGACCTCATGAGTCAGGATAAGTATAAAATATCAATTTTACTCTAAAAATTACATATTTTTCCTTATCCTGACTCATGCTCTTTTGCTTGTAGAATCTTACGGAACGGAGGTGGGAGTAATAGAATACTTTGGATTTTAATAATTAGTGATTTGAACTGTGATGATTGTAATAACCCTATGGGAACTTCATAAAGGCACTGAACTGATGAATTCCTGCTGCTAACTTATCAGCTGCCATATAAAGGTTATTACAATGTACTTATTATGATAAAGTATATATAACATTAATACAATGCTTAAGACTGATAGACTTAAGTTTGTTAATATGCTAATATAAACTCCTTAGAGTTTGTTAGCTAAGATACTTTAAGATATAAACATAGTACTAAGCTTAAGATATGATTAAACTTAAGCTAATTATATAATAGCAAAACTCTTTAGAGTTTGTTAGTTAATATACTTATATGATATAGATATAATGCTGAGCTTAAGATATGAATAAGCTTTGGCTACATATATAATAGCAGAACTCTGTAGAGTTTGTTAGCTAATATATTTTTATAATATGAGTATAATACTGTGCTTAAGATATAATTAACTTAAGCTACATATATAATAGTAAAACTCTGTAGAGTTTGTTAGCTAATATATTTTTACAATATGAGTATAGTACTGTACTTAAGATATAATTAACTTAAGCTACATATATAATAGCAAAACTCTGTAGAGTTTGTTAGCTAATATATTTTTACAATTTGAGTATAGTACTGTGCTTAAAATATAATTAACTTAAAATACATATATAATAGCAAAACTCTGTAGAGTTTGTTAGCTAATATATTTTACAACATGAGTATAGTACTGTGCTTAAGATATAATTAACTTAAGCTACATATACAATAGCCAAAAACTCTGTAGAGTTTATTAGCTAATAGATTTATAATGTAACTATAGTACTAAGCTTAAGATAAATTTAGACTTAAGCTAAATGTATATAGTAAAAAACTCCTTAGAGTTTATTAACTAATATACTTTTATGTTATAAACATAGTACTGAGCTTAAGATATGATTAAACTTAAGCTATATATATAATAGCAAAACTCAATTCGAGTTTTGTTAGGTAATACATTTTATAATGTAACCATACTGCTTAAGATATGATGAAACTTAAGCTAATTGTATAATAGCAAAAAAAAAAACTCTTTAGAGTTTGTTAGCTAAAATACTTATATGATATAAACCTAGTATTGAGCTTATGAAGGAAAACTTAAGCTACATATATAATAGCAAAAACTCCGTAGAGTTTTTTAGCTAATACATGTTATAATGTAACCATAAAGCTTAAAATATGATGAAACTTAAGCCAAATATATAATAGCAAAAACCTCTTTTAGAGTTTTGATAGCTAATATACCTATATGATATAAACATAGTACTGCGCTTAAGATATGAATAAGCTTAAGTTACATATATAATAGCAAAAACTCTGTAGAGTTTGTTAGCTAATACATGTTATAATATAACCATATTGCTTAGAATATGATGACACTTAAGCCAAATAGCAAAAAACTCTTTAGAGTTTGTTAGCTAATATACTTATATGATATAAACATAGTACTAAGCTTAAGATATGAATAAGCTTAAGCTACCTATATAATAGCAAAACTCCGTAGAGTTTGTTAGCTAATATATTTTTATAATATGAGTATAGTACTATGCTTAAGATATAAATAACTTAAGCTACGTATATAATACCCAAAACTCTGTAGAGTTTGTTAGCTAATGCATTTATCATGTTACCATAGTACTACTCTTAAGATATGATTAACTTAAGGTAAATATATAATAACAAACTCTGTAGAGTTGTTAACTTATATATTGTATGATGTAATAATCATAGTACTGTGATGATAAAAAGAACTTAAGCAAATTATATATAGCATGTAGCTATTTAGTACTGTTATAAGATAACTTATCTTCTCCGAGGAACTGTCAATTGTTGTGCGAGGACCATGGGATCGAATTGGTGGATACCTGAGACGTCCTCGGTGGTGATATCTCTCAGATAATGGTTGGCAACCACCATATCGGATCTCCAGAAATAAACCCTCCATTATTCCAAAAAACATTTGTGTAAATCAATTGTAGAAGTTAACGCTCTAATATCAAGAGTATTAAAGCTCATGGAGGGTCGGATTGGGTCCATCCGTCTTGTATGCACATAGTATGACAGTTCTGATCCAAACGGAGATATAGTACGTGAGACTTCATTCTGCCTAAGTTGAAGATAGAGGAAATAATCTGTTGCATTTTCCCTTCCTGTTTGGTTCGGTGGAGATAAATTTACAGTGCTCTTGCTGGCCATCGTGATAGAATCATCGTATCATGGAGCCCAAGTATGTTATCCAGGCGTGTTCATAAACCTCACTTGTGAGGTGTTGGAGCACTATATTCAGATCCCCAAGTTGGAGCGTGAACTTCCGTTTTAATTCTCCAATCAGAAAGCTTAAGTAGGTTTACTAACCATCTAGTTGTGTTAGTAGCTTGATGATTAAATTCAACTGTAGTCTGAGACTCTGTGGATTTAGATCTACTTGTATCCCGTCGTCTAGGTAATTCGCTGCGAAGTTCTTGACGATGTAGGTGCACAACCAGTTGTGTCTGTCCTCGTTGAACTTTATGTATATTATGCCTGACTGCCGTGCCCTCGTTCTAACTTGACAGGGGAGGTCTCTAACCTGAAGAAAGCAGTCTAATCATGAAAGTTCAGGTTAACTGGACTGTAAAGAGGCTTGCTCGTTCACTGATATATAGTTGTCACTTGTGACGTAAGTCTTGAACTGTGAACTAAGATTCGACCTCTACGTAGGTCGTTGTCCATCAGCGGTCCAATCAGAACAAGGCATTTTGATTCTGTAGAATACCCGCTGTGATGTCACGGTGTAGCAGGAAAAACCTTGTATAAAATCTTGCCGTCGTTGATATTAGCATAATCGCCGGTCTTCACCGTAGCTTCCCGAAGTTACCCAAGTGACCACGTGTTTCGAGGGTTAATGGTAAACGCGCGTGAAACCTTCGGCGCGAAATACCTCGCTCTGTAATATTAATGCTGGGTAGGTTATTTTCCTGGCTGTCGTGAAAGTAACTTCAGTTTTGAATATAATTCCGACTTCCTTATATAAAGGTACAATAAACTTGCAAGTTGTCAGCTTGTAGACTGTATACATGAATGTATCGTCATAATTGTAGAATTAAAGCTGAACTTGTACATATTTCTTCTCAGAAAAGTTGACGATTATGAGTTATACTCGCTGTAACAAGGCTGCTGTTCAATTTCGATATTGAATTGTCTGCAGATATGCGTAATGGTCACGCATGTAGATAAACGTATCGTCGTCCGGGATTGCATATTCTAGCAATCTATACGGAACAGTTGATTTCTGTGAAGATCTATGAAACGTCGTTGACTAATTAATACAGTGACGTTCTGTGTTGTAAATAGCCTGTGCAATTGTCGTCGCGTAGACTTATAGACGGCATCTGGCATACAGTTGATAAACAACTTATGCGATGTCTTGAACGGACTGACGAGTAGCTATATATGACGAATGGCTAGTATATGGAGACCTTGGAGGAGACTTCCTCGGTGAACGCTGGAGACTTCGCGAAGCTCTCGAAGTATCCCTTCTAGATCTTCTGGGTGAAGTAGACTTGGAGCCACTTAGCCTTCGCGACCTTCGCGAAGGTATCGAGTCAAAGCCCGATTAGTATATATATATATATATGAGTGCTTGCTTCGTGAACGGCCTCTGTGTTTAACAGGATGTGGGGTCGGTGAAGCGCTACTCCTCCGCGACGTCCCTTGTAACTGGTGAGGCTCTAGCTCCTTCGCGGAGGTGGCCTGGGACTTCCTTAGCGAAGTGTTTATAGTCCGAACAATATATGAGCGTTAGCTTCATACAGGGTGTGGTTCTTGCTGGTTCTGCATAAGTATAGCCAAGTAGATCATCCTATCATCTTCAGAAGTCGTGTCACGAAATCTGGTGATAAGAATCTTATTGATCGTTCTAGATCTATTAAGGCCAAAGAACATACGCCTCTGGCGTTTGAACTTTCATGGCTTTATGGTAGGCTGTGTGCAGACTTGTGTGGTGACCTGTGAGGCGATCGACGTGGTGATGTACGAGGAGATCGGCGCGGTGAACGGCGAGGCGATCGTCTTGGTGATCTGCGTCTATGGGTTGACCTTCTCGGAGACCTGTAAGGAGAATGTTGATAGCTTCGCGAAGCTCTTGTGTAGTCCCTGGAAGTCCTTCTGTACGATGACGATCTGTGGTCAGGTGTCCTTCGCGAAGGCCTTCGCGAAGCTTCCTCTGCGTCCGGTCCGGGGGAACGGCGATATGACCTTCGCGAAGGCTTCCGTGATGTCTGATGGTCTGAGTCCACATCTAGGGATGAAATCGAAGAAGGTGATGATCTATCCCGCCTTCATGAAGGCCTTCGCGAAGGCTGTACATCTAGGTCCTTCGTCAAGGTGGTCCGTGACTTCCTTCGCGAAGGTGACATCGTCCTGGTTGCTACGTTGACGGGGGGTGCCTCTGGGGTGCTGTCTACGTTGGAGCCTTCGCGAAGGCTCGGTCCCTGCTTCTGCAGTCTGTAGCGGTCCTCCATCATGGTCATAATTTGCCGCATCAGGTCCTCAGGGATGGTCTGTGACGAGGTCGTCGGTGCCTTATCTGCGGTGTTAATGGAGGGGTCCACAGGAATATCGTCCGACATCAGTGTAGAGGCATCAGGCTGCATGGTGATCTCTGCTGATGTCATTGTAGGTGTCACCGGTCGCTTCTTGTGGCGTACATCGTGGATGATGATCGACTGATCATCGTTGAGGTCCAGGTCAGCGGCTGGAACAATCTCGGTTGAGAAAGTCCTAGTAGACTTCGTTGATTTCCCCTCAGAGGTCGACGCTGCCCTGGGTGTTCGACGTCTGCGTTCAGTGTTGGTAGCGATGGGACCCTCAGGAAGATCATCGAATATCAGCGTTGGTACATCAGGCTGCATGCTGATCTGCGCTGACATCACTGTTGCTGACATCGGTCATTCTTTTGATGTACATCAGGTATGATGATCGGCTGATCATCATACAGGCCCAAATCTGCGAAGGGAACAATCTCGGCTGTTGAGATGTAGTAGAAAAACCCTCTAGTCTACGGCTGCGACGATGGGATGTCTGGGGAAGCAGGACGCTTCTTGGAGACGGCGGACTACGTCCCACGCCTCTCCACCACTCTAGCGGAACATCACACGGGAGGGGGGTCGGCCAACAGCAGTAGACTGGCGAGGGGTTCAGGTGTATCAGTCATACTAGACTCTGCATACGCGACCTATCTGCTGCGCGTCTCAAACGCAAAGTAAATATTAATAAAAAGAAGAATTGGATAAATTAGTACCGCAACTGCAACGTGAATAAAATGAACATGGCGCAGTACAACTAAGGCATATTAAAAGCGGATCAGCAGCAGAATAAAAAACGTAATCTGCAATAGTACAGAATTTTCATCAACGTAATCCACTGAAACAAACACGGCGTCCCGTGAATAAACTGTAGAAAAAACGAGTAAATATAATATATAATCGTTGAAGGATACTAGCTAAACCTCTATAGATGTCTATACGAGGTAACTAACTAAATATAAATCAAAGGATATAGTGTCGGGAGACACAGGCGCTCTCACGTCGAGCTCACTGGGCGAAGAAGGAGAGAGTGAGGCACATGGGTGAAGGTGGCGCCCTCGTTTCCCGCGCTTGTGGAAAGGGGGTAACTCGTGGTGAGTACTAATTAGTGATTTTACATTGAAGGGAGCTTCAATTAGGGAGATACAAGTGTTTCCACTAAGTTCGCAAGAAGAAGAAGACAAGCAAAAGAGCATGAGTCAGGATAAGGAAAAATATATAATTCATCTATTCTCAATGCAATCAACATGTTAAAAGGACACTATATCATCTGACTGAAAACCAGTTCACTGCAATCATATCACATCTTCACAAGCACTTTGTTTTCGGTAAAGGGATAATACTGCTAAGCCCTAATAATAAGCCACAAAAACCTCCCTAATACTGGAATGGAGATGGATCATTCATATTTTAGGGTCCTATATAATACAGAAAAGATATCACCCTCAAGTGTGAGATATTTTAAATATTTAACAGTTAAAGGATAGTCCATTGTTTTCAAACACACTCCAAAATCCTTGATTTGTTTGCAAGATTACCATCTCATGGGGTCAATACCATTAGAAGGCAGCAAAATGCCAGGATAGAATCAAACCCAAATCCCTCCCTCACTCATTCAATCTTACCTTTTCCTGGCCTGCAGTGTCCCATATCTGGTACTTGTACGTATTGCCGTCCACCAACAGGGTTTTGGTCATGAAGGAGGCGCTGGAAATATTCACAAGATTATTTACTAAAGCAGTTGATATTTTTCTCTTTATATATTAGAGCTGAATAAAGTCAAATTCATATACTTTTGCTGCCATCACTGACCAATGCCATCTAGATTTTCAGGTAACACATTATATTTGGGATTACTATATCTCAGTTAAGTATAGATTCTAGTCCTATTGGTGAGTGGAGTCACATCTGGGATTCGAACCCTAACTGTCAGTTTACTACTTTCTAAATGGCATTGTGTACTAATAGATTTACAGGGTTGAGTCAGATGTGGGGGCGATTTGTAGTTGTTAGTACATGAGAACAGACTTAACACACAGTGTGGCTATGTATATTTAAGAAATACAGTTCGCTCTGCCACCATGTATAGTGTAATAAAGCACACTTTCGCCCTGAACTATTACAGCTAAGCACGAGGACGCTTGCTCATAACCTTCGGAAAATATAAATGTAATGAATCCACCAGTGCGTTATCTGTGTGAAGCAACTGTAAACCAAGAAACGGGATGCAACGGAGTAGTTTACTGTAGGAGACTGTATGAGGCGATGACAACTGACATGCATTGTGACGTCGCTTACATTGTGACGTAATGCAAAAGTGTTCGATTACAAGGGGGCAGACTAGTGAGTGAGTTAACATTTAACGTCACAGCGGCAATATTTCAGCCATATCGTGACGAGAACATTTTACATTGAAATGGAATATGTGAGGGGGCAGACTAGAATGGCGCAATGATGCCAGTACATTGTGACGTAATGCAAAAAGTGCACATCATCGTCTAATAAAGTAAGGTCGGCGCCTTTGATCTTTCACTGAAGCATCTTAGAAACTTAAATATTGTTAATATTCTTCTTCTTCTTAATTCATTCTTAATATCAAATATTTGACTTATAGTGAACGGCACTGGGACATTCAGGCAATGAAAACCTAAACTACTGGCACATGCTAATTTACATTTCACATGTGTGACTTAGCAAACAAACATGCACAATGTGTTCTGTAAAGCAGAAATGTGCATCCAGGAAGCACAAACCTATACAATGGATGCCGAAAAAATATGTATCATGTCCCGATGGATAGACAATAATATTCATTGCATATTTCTGGCATCTGGCATCTAACAGCATTCTGGACAGCATGTTCTGCATAATTACTAGGGGTGACTTTTGCAATAGCGATAGTCTGTTATTGCAATAGTTTTTTCTCCTTGAAATTTTGTCAGCCATGACAACTGTACAGTCCATGTGAAGGCTACCACTAGGCACCAGACAGATAATTTAGGTCTACAAGTTGTTGGTAGTAGTTATATAATTGGGGTTCTATTACAGGGTACCTTATAGGCTTATTTCTACGTAATTCCACTCCCAGCGCCTACTATTAAATAGTGATTTTCGAGCAGAAACATCATTCGATGTACAGCCGAGCTCGCCAGCCTAGACCCATTTTCGCTAGGGCTACCCATTTTTTACGCAACAACTGACTAGACCTCGACATGCCGAGTGGAGATTCCTTTATAGGGTGTCTTAGAAACTCCCAACGCGTCGAGGTCTAGTCAGTGGCTTATGCGCGTGTGTCCGTATGCGTAAGTCGTGATGCCGTGTTATTCAGGGCGATTCCATAGATGTTGTGTTTGTCGCTTCTCAACGCATTCATTCGGTGTTTGAACGTTTCATTCTTGAAAAGAGCTTGTTTGAAGAAGGTGTGTTTGATGTGTTGTTTCACCACATATTTTTTTACCCCTTTCGCCTTTCGGATCTCACCATTGTCGGCTTTCAGGATGGAATACATCTTGGGTCTCAATCCGATGTATTCGCCGATGGGTGTGCCCGCTCATTCGTCCTTCATCTTACCGAGGACCTTTTTATTGGTCGTGCTTTGGTTGTTGTTGTTGAAATCAGCCATAAGCATCATCATCATCATCATCATCATCATTATCATCATCATGTACAGTACAACCAGAAATTATTGAGCATTTAAAGATTGTAATTTTAAAAAAAATATTCACTCATTACTCACGTATTAAATGTGAATATTAGCAGAACATAACTCCAGATTCAAAGACAGGTGAACAGTTAGTATTTTGTCAAGCACCATGGGCAGCAATGCAGGCTTCAATGCGGCGGGGCATACTACTGATCAAAGAAGTTAGAAAGTCGTGGTCCATGCTGTCCCAATATCGGACCCCCTCTTCTTTCATTTCAGCAATATTTGTCAGATTTTTCTTACTGACACTTTCCTTCATAAGTCCCCAAACATTTTCTTTTGGATTTAGGTCAGGGCTATAGCTTGGCCAATCTAATAATGTCATATTTTGGGTCTGAAACCAGGCCTGTGAATGCTTTGAATGATGTTTTGGGTCGTTGACCTGCTGGAAAATCCAAAAATGTCCATGGAACACGTGAGCAGATGGAAGTAAATGTCCTTCGAGAATATCTGTGTACCGCTCACTGTTCATATTCCTTTCAAATACACAGAGGGACGTTGCCCCTAACACAGATATGCCACCCCACACGTTAAATTTCGGACTGTACTTTGGGCGCTGATACAAAGGTTTTTCAGTTTGTTTGGTCCAGAATTTCAGTGTATTAGGAAACAGCCACACTGAACTTTCATCTGAGAAATCACATTGTCCCAGTTAAAATTTCTGTGCTGTAAGCACCAGTTCAACCTTCGCTCCTTTTGTTCAGCTTTCATGATCGGTGATGGAATTCCTCGACCTTTCTGCCAACCCACTGCATGCAGCTCAGTTCTAATTGTCTCCTTGCAGACAGCCACAGTTCCTCTATCAATCATATCCAGTCTTAATTTTTCTCAACTGCTTTGTTTGTTTTTAGAAACAAGAATACCAAGCCGACACCAAAAATGGGCTTCACTATTGTACCCATGTGGAGAATCGAACCTGGGCCTTTGGCATGATGAGGCTACCCCAATGCCCCTTATAACTAAAGGGTGAACTGACTTACCCTATTGTGCTTTCCAAGGCGTTCTTGAATTGGTTGTTGACAAACCTCATGACAATACTCGACTTGCCCACACCAGAGTCCTGAAACCATAGCAACATGAGTGAGTGAGTGAGTGAGTGAGTGACTTAAGTTTTACGCTGCTTTTAGCAATATTCTAGCAACACCATGGCAGGGGACACCAGAAATGGGTTTCACACATTGTATCCATGTGGGGAATCGAACCCGGGTCTTCGGTGTGATGAGCGAACGCTTTAACCACTGGGCTACCCCACCACCAGAAATGGGCTTCTCACATTGTACACACGTGGGGAATCGAACCGTTGGCCTGACGAGGGGACAACCTGAACATTCACTACACTGCTACACCATGTACAGTAAACTATGGTTATACTGAACACATATATAATGAACAGTAGGATATATATCAAAAAATGTTTTTTCCCAGCCACATGATAAATATTTGGTGTTTATGATAAACTTAGTTTACTGTATATGCTATGGTGACACCATTAAGAGAAACAGAAATACAAAGTATATAAAAGAGTGATGTATCACATCTAAAATAATAATATTAATAGTGAGTGAGCGAGTAAGTGAGTGAGTTTAGTTTTATGCCGCTTTTAGCAATATTCCAGCAATATCACGGCGGGGTACACCAGAAATGGGCTTCACACATTGTACCCATGTGGGGAATCGAACCCGGGTCTTCGGCGTGACGAGCTGAACACTTTGACCACTAGGGCCACCCACAAAGTATATAAAAGAGTGATGTATCAATAATATTAATAAAAATTACTAATTTCTGCATGTCTGATATGCATGGTATGTAATTACAAAGGGCCTAAAAGTCAAATATCTGTTGCATGAATTTATTCCGATTTACTTCACATGCTTCATATGCCAAATATTTGGGGGGTTGGTTTCAATTAATTCCCTTTCATACTGGAGTATTTGGATATACTGATCATATATCCTATCATGCATTGTAACCTTACTCTCAATCAATCTTAAATTTGCTATCAAAGCCACAGGCCCAATACAATTACTTGAATGAAACGTGTAGCTCTAATGCATGTAGGAGTGAGTGAGTAAGTTAATATTTAACGTCACATCGGCAATATCTCAGCCATATCGTGACGAGAACATATTTGACATTGAAATGGAATATATGTATATGATAAAAACCTGTCTACGAAGGACAGTAAAATAACTAGAATATCACAATTACAACTAAAACTAGTGTGGAAAGTTAAAACTAATAGCACTATTGGGACAATACAATATAAAAACTGGCTATAGATCGCCAGCAACTGAGTGAGTGAGTGAGTGAGTGAGTTAATATTTAACGTCACATCGGCAATATTGCAGCCATATCGTGACGAAAACAAGCCATGTAATAAAAAGTAGAAACTTTTTGAAGATTAAAACCTGTTGACGATGGACAGTAAAAAGACTAGAGAATCACAGTTATAAATATAAAACTAGCGCAAAGTTAAAATATTCCAATTAAAGAAGACAATACAATTTAAAATACGGGCTATAGATCGCCAACAACTGAAGGTAGATCACCAAATTAGGGACCATGGGGACTTACATTACTTTTGCTACCTGCATGGACCCTAGCTGGATTTATATCATCCCTTCAGCCGCTGGCGATTGAAGTCAAACTGAGCCAAAATTAAAAGGACAAGAATACTACGTTTAAAACAGCTGGTAAATTTAAATTTCCTCTGAATGTTTCGGGACTTACGTACCCTCTCAGGAGGATAATGCATGTAGGAACAAACATCCCTTTCTGTCTATGACAAAGCTAACATTATTTGTTATATCAGTGTAGGAAAGATGTAGAAAATCTAACCTGTCCACAGGACTGGCAGGTCAAATTTTTTACCAGTCCTGCCAAAATCTAGCCTGTCCTCCAAATATAAATAAAACACCTTCGGCAGTAAATATTCAAAAAGGTTATAATCATTATATATATGTCACTGGTTTGCTAAAATTGACCCGACATGAGGACGGACTAGATATTTTTTTAACCCGTCCTCCACAAAATTCACCCGTCTCGGACGTTGGGACGGGCTATCTTTCCTACACTGGTAATATGGTTATTTGCAAGGTAGTATGGGATGACCCTTTTGAATCCATGATTCCTGGTGCTGAAGCCCTTGAAGATCCGGGTTAGAATTGATCTTCAGTAACCCATGTTGGTTGTAAGAGGCGACTAACTCAGTAACTGGATCGGGTGGTCAGGCTCGCTAACTTGGTTGACACATGTCATTGGTTTCCAATTGCGCAGATTGATGCTCATGATGTTAATCAATGGATTGTCTGGTCCCGACTCGATTGTTTACAGACCGCCACCATATATAGCTGAAATTTGCTGGGTGTGGCATTAAAGAACCAACCAACCTGATGCCAAAGCTGGCCTCAAGAAATACAGATTCAGACATCCATCCCATAAAACCTGGCAAATGACAGTATAACAAATTTATTACCCTTAAGATTTTATAGGTCCTTTATTTCTTCTATTTTGGCAACAGGATGGGGCGCAAAGCAAAGCAAAGCATTTCGCCATGATTGCTGTCACAGACAAACATCACCGATTAGTATATGAAGGGATCTGGTAGCCTTTTAAAAACTGTCTTAACAGACTTGTAATTTAAGAAAATATACTACAGTTTAGGATATTTATCATCCAAAACGGTTTTCCACCGAGATCGATTTGATATTATTTTGTACAATGCCCTGACAATGTTATGTGAGATGACATCATGTTATGACATATCTGCAGGTCTATGGAGAGTGTTGAGAGATTTACATTTTTCATTGAAAACTAATGAAGAATGATTTTTGATGATAAATAGAATCTCACCCTCGTGTCTACTCGGATATTTGTAACTTTATCAACTCATGTTGATGTGATTTACAGAATTGTAACCTAACTTCTTGGATAACCTTGATTCGTGGATCGCGGAAATTATCATGCTAGCTCGTAAATTAAGTCTCGACAGCGGTACTTTTGATGTACATACAATGCCACGCCTCGCTGACAAAAAAGTTCCGAATCTCTGCATTTCATGCAAGTACACTAAATATAATTGTCCAGCATTGAGATAAATAGCCCCAGATCACTAATACCACCATTACCAAATTTTACTTTTACAAAATGTCCAGTAAAAAAGATACCGTTAGCTCCAACCTTTTCACTTCTCGTTGTCTGCTTTCCTTGGTGTTAATACTTACTGCAATGGGCTGTCGTACATAGTGATATATTGTAAACGAGTACGTAATCCACGAAACAAGGTAACATCATATTTTGTGTGCACACGAACAGGTGATGATTGAAATGGCTTCTGTAAACAAACGTTTCATTTATGTGTGGAATATTAGGCATTTTCAATTTGCTGAATCAGTGAATAAAATAATCAGTGCATATACAATATGAAATCATGCATTTTATAATATGAATTTCGCCGAAGTTGCCATATATCCACGAATCAAGGTTATGCAAGTGTATCTCAGCAGACACTTGGGTGAGATTCTCTATATCTTTAGGTCAAATCTCCATCCGCATTACAGATGAAAAACGGAATATTCTCAAAATATTTTTGATAGAAAGAACTTTTTATGATAACATTAGTTGAATTCTCCAAGTGAGTTGAAACTCAATGTCAAAGCTTGCAAAGTGTGAAGATCCTCCATACTACCCACTGGAACAGAGTAAAGTTCCTGTCACACCTTTGAGTATATCTATCAAGTAGTCATGAGTTCCTTATAAAAAAAAGTCAATACGACGTCCATACACTCAACATTGTGAATTTTTTCGATTAATATGACTTATGTGTGATGCTCATCTAGCGTATAAATAACAAATTTAGTGCATCCATTTGAGTGCGTATGAGGTGCGCATGATTTGCGTAACACTATTTTTCTTGACATATTAACAAAAACTTGTTTTCATTATTTACCTGGACTAATTTATAAAGTTTGAAGGCTCCTTCTTCAATGAGTTTATTTTCATCTCTGCCCTTTTCAGTTGCTAGTGGTAACACACTACATATAAATTGTGTGACTACAGACTTGTATTTCTTTATGTCCAAAATAGATAAATAGAATTCAGTTGAAAAAATTGTTTTGAACTGTCCATAACTTCAGAGTTTTGGGCAGTTGTTAATATTAACGTGTAACTGACACAAATGAGACTCCCATAAACACACCACCTGTAGGAAATATGTAACCTGAAAAATAATCCCAATATTTCTGAGATGTATTTCTGATGTACTTTTTCATTCTTTTTATTACACCTCTCAGTGAGTTACATAATTAGATATAAGATGCAGTATAAATCAGAGCAGTAACAATTCTAGATGATGAATCAGCACTTACATCAAGTTAAACATTGACATCGGGAATAACAGCTGATCTAAACATATACAAATTGCAATTTAGAAGATACAGATTAAATCATAGAGGTGAATGATAATACATGGGCAAAATAGTTAAAACATGTTTTGTGGTACATTCCTGCTTTAGAAGTATTTACTAGGACCACCATCATGATGGTTTCAAAACAAATGCTGAGCAAATACTGTCATAGTAACTATAATAAATACTGTGCTGTACACTAGCGATTAATATTACTTTTCACTTATCGTCGGATTACATGTTTTCAGATGTCATACGTTTCATGCAGGCTGCAGTGTTTAATCCACACTATGACGAGGCAAGTTGGGTCATACAGACACCTAAATAAATACTCAGATGACAGCTTGTGTTTGAGATAAGTTGTCTCAATAAGTCTGTCATAATGAACAGTTTTCATCAAGAATAACAAAATATGTATTCAACAACATTCATTCTTACTAAAATACTAGTCTAGATAACCACGATAAAGATGATAAACATCAGTACAGTTATCACGATTATCTCTTCGAATCATATCGTACTTCCCTGATCATACTTATATATCACAGGCGGGTATAATCATTAAGATGTGGTTTCTGTCATGTATTAATAATGTGTGAATTTCATAGACAGGGCGTTGGTCTACAAACCTTATGATTAATAGTTAAAAGATTTTTATAAAATGAGAAACATGTTGCGATTTCTAGCTTTGGGAGTTGCCTGGCAGTAGTGAACTTGAGAAATATTCTGATGATTCGAACTTCATCAATGACCAAACAAAATCGTTTACTCACGCCAAGGAGGCAAAGTTTGACATCTCTCAAGGACATTTTATATGGATTCCAGTTGTGGTGACTGTGAAGTTATCAAGTAATCTCTATGTGTGGTTTCACGAAATGCTAAAACCGAAATGAGATCATCGTCCCAATATAATGACAACTTCTATCGCCATTTTGGACGTAAGTGTGTCACATGACATTATTTGTACTTCCGCTTTTCATATTCCTAACTGCGAAGACTGATTACGCCGTGCACGGAGTTTCTGTACTGTCATATCAGTCATTTCATCATGACAAATTCATGCATCGCCTTGCGTTTCTTAAATTAGACAATCGATAATAGTTTTTAGGTTCGCGGCTATTGACACTTGTTGGTGGTGATGGAAGCTGGACAGAAGGTAGCTTCTGTGCGGACGGGTGTGGGGATAGGCTTAGTAACGGAAAATTAAACTGTAATGTATTTAATGTGGCGAGCTTAAACTTTGCCAACAGCACGGGTCTGTTGGGCGCAAATAATTGCAACGATCCTTAAATCACGTTTCACAGATAATAGTACAATCGATGGATCAATAATACAGTGTGTGTGTGTGTGTCCGTCCGTGCGTGCGTGCGTGCGTGCGTGTGTGTGGTATACCGCAGTCATATACTGGGTCGAATATTAATATTTTTTATTTGAGTTCTTGTTGGTTCTGAGACTCAACTGTTTGTGAAACAGTGCATGTACAGAATGTACTCACCATGTATAATCATGGGATAAACTGTTTCACTTTGCAAGCCTTACGTATCAAATGTGGTTTTGTTTATTTGATTAATTTAGAGACTATCAATTCGGTCTAACATTCATCTAATTTCCCAACACAGTATGTTTATCTCCATTCTACCATAACCGATTTAACATCGAACTTCCTCGTCCTGCGGAAGACACTGCCTAATCTGGCATGGGACGAGAGGCGAAATGTACTCGTCTGTGAAGGGAGTGGTAGGTGCCGTTCGTACTTATTTTAACATTGCAACATAAAAAATATTCTGTCTAAGTGAGTGAGTGAGTTATTATTTAACGTCACATCGGCAATATTTCAGCCATATCGTGACGAGAACACTTGACATTGAAATAGAATATATATAGAGATTATAAAACCTGCCGACAAAGGACAGTAAAGCAACTAGAGTATCACAGATATATATGTAAAACTAGTAATTGAATCTAAAACATTTTAACCATAGGGGACAACACAATATAAAAATGGGCTATAGATCGCTAACAACTGAAGGTAGATCACCATACTAGGGACCATGGGGACTTACAGTACATTTGCTTCCTGCATGGGCCCTAGCTGGATTTACATCATCCCCTCAGCTGTTAGCAATTGAGATATATCTAGCCATACATTAAAATTACACATATTCTACGATTAAAACACGGAAAGTTGAAATTTACTTTGAATGTTTTGGGACTTACGTACCCTCTCAGGAGGACAATAATTTTACAGTACTTTAACCCCCTCGAGGATACAGCCACTAACAATCTGTGTTACTAATTCAAACTTCCAATCATAAAATATTTAGCTATTTACAAATCTGTTAACAAATTTAATTCTTTTAAAAAAGCAATAATTAAATGAGGACTTATATTAGTAAAAAGATCCTTCATAGATCGGGATTTGAAATAGATATCCCTTGTGATGGAGTACTCAACACAGTCAAGCAAGACATGCTTGACCGTGATTCGTTCATCACAAGGGATACAAAACGGAGGATCGTCACCTTTTAATAGGTACTCATGCGTATATCTCGTGTGGCCAATACGACATCGTCGTATGATGACCTCTTCAAATCTGGACTGACAACCCAAGTAAGTGTAACCGATATAGGGTTTTATTTCATGTAATTTATTGATACCTACTTGGGTGTCCCACTTCTTTTGCATCAGATCACGGATATAAGATCGTATAGCAGCTTTGTAATCAGAGTATGGGATCAGAAGTGGTGTCACAGATTTGTTGAGTGCTGCCTTAGCAGCAATATCAGCCATTGTGTTCCCATAAATGCCAAAGTGGCTGGGTAACCAACAGAAGAAGATGTCGCATTGGCCAGTAGCAAGTTCATTGTACAATTCAATTATTTCTAATAAAAGTGGATGTTTGCAAGAAAGATTTTTAATAGCCTGAAGACACGAAAGAGAATCTGAAAAGATGATATATTGTTTATATTTACGGTGTTTATTAATATATTTAAGAGCTGTTAGTATTGCGTTTGCTTCTGCTGTGAAAATTGAACTGTCATTGGGTAATCTGGAAGATATTGTTTTGGACCCAATGACAGTGGCACAAGCAACCGCGCCACCATCCTTGGACCCATCTGTAAATAAGGATTTATATGTATTATATTTACTTTTTAATTGATTATGTTCTTGTTTATATAATAAGTCATTAGTTTCTGATTTTTTAAATTTAGTGAGTGTTAGGTCGACTTGTGGCCTAACCAATTGCCAAGGAGGAGAAGAAAGAAGACGGGAAGGAGCTATATTTTCCAGCTCAATGCCGGCAGCAGCAATAAATGGCTTAATTCTGAGCCCAAGAGGCGGAACAAGAGAAGATTTTTTGTTATACAAATCCTCATAAAGAGGATTAAAGACACAGTGAAATGCAGGATTAGACTCGTTAGAATATAATTTTGTAATATATTGTAATGATAATTTTATACGGCGTTGGTTAAGAGAAGGTTCATCTGCCTCGACGTAAAGACTGTCAACAGGAGAAGTTCTGAATGACCCAAGACAAAGTCTCAGACCTTGATGGTGGACTGAATCTAAGAGTTTTAGGTTGCTTTTACAGGCTCCACCATATACGATGGAGCCATAATCAAGTTTCGAGCGGACCAATGATCGATATAGGTGGAGGAGGGTAGCTTGATCCCCTCCCCACTTTGAGTTGGAAACAACTTTCAACAAATCAAGGGCCTTCAGGCATTTGGCTTTAAGTGATTTAATATGCGGCAAAAAGTTAAATGGGAGTCGAAAATTAGACCCAAGAATTTGGCCTCCTTAACAACTTTGATGGGTGTGCCATTTAAAGATAGTTCTGGATCTTTATGCGGCTTATATTTTCTACAAAAGTGTAGACGATTAGTTTTGGACTTGGAAAATTTAAAGATTTATTTTATTTAAACACAACTGCAATCGCCGTTCAATAATTATTTTACCACGACAAGAAATATTAAAATCATCCACAAAAGTGATCCATCAATTGAATCGTTTAAAACCTTTGATAAACTGTTTATCTTGATACTAAACAATGTGACAGACAAAATACTGCCTTGCGGGACACCCTGATCCTGATTGTAATGGTCAGACAGGGTTGAACCCACTCCGGACTTGAAATTGCGTGTCAGTTAAAAAGTTGGATATAAAGTGAGGCAAACGGCCTCGTAATCCAAAATCATGTAAATCTTTTAAAATCCCATGTTTCCATGTCGTGTCGTATGCTTTTTCTAAATCGAAAAAGATCGACACTGCATGTTGTTTATTAATTATGGCATTTTTAACAAAAGACTCTAAACGTACTAAATGATCGATGGTACTACGGTTTTTACGGAAACCACATTGTATATCAGTTAATAGGTTATTGGTTTCCAAGTACCAAACAAGTCGATTGTTGATCATACGTTCCATGGTTTTGCAAACGCAGCTAGTCAGTGAAATTGGTCTATAATTAGAGGGATCAGTATGATCACGTCCAGGTTTAGGTATGGGAACAATAATAGCATCCCGCCACCACGAAGGAAAATTTCCAGATGTCCAAATGTCATCAAAAATATGTAAGAGCGTCTCTAAACATGATTCAGGTAAGTGCTTCAGGAGTTGATAATGTATGTTATCAGCCCCTGAAGCAGTATCATGAGCCTGATCAATAGCAGTATGAAGCTCATGTATCGAAAAGGTTTCATTGTAGTCTTCCCCATTATCTGAATTGAAATTAAGAGATTTCTTTTCCTGCTGTTTTTGATATTTTTGGAATTCAGGTACATAATTAGATGAGGAAGAATGTTTGGCCAACGTCTCACCAAGTTTATTTGCAATATCTGATTTATCAGTCAATAACTGATTCCCATCTTTGAGATGGTGAATGCTAGATTTAGAGCCCTTACCCTTGATTTTCTGGATCATATTCCACACCTTTGAGATAGGTGTGCGCGAATTAATTTTGAGAGTGAGTGAGTGAGTGATTATTTAACGTCACATCGGCAATATTTCAGCCATATCGTGACGAGAACATTTGTCATTGAAATGTAATATGTGTATAATATAAAACACCTGCCGACGAAGGGCAGACAATACAAGATAAAAACAGGCTATAGATCGCCAACAACTGAAGGTCGATCAGTGTGCCATACCATCGTCGCATGATGACCATACTAGGGACCATGGGGACTTACAGTACCTTGGCTACCTGCATGGACCCTAGTTGGATTTACACCATCGAAGTTTTAAAACAACTCAGAATATCACAATTAGATTTTAAAACTAGTGTGGAAGGTTAAAACTAATAGCACTATTAGGACAATACAAGATAAAAACAGGCTATAGATCGCCAACAACTGAAGCACGATCACCATACTAGGGACCATGGGACTTACAGTACCTTTGGCTACCTGCATGATAAAGGGACCCCTAGTTGGATTTTACACGTTCCATCCCTTCAGCCTGCTGGCGATTGTAAGAAATGTTAGCTACAATTAAAATGACAAATATGCTACGTTTAAAAATCCTGGTAAGTTTAAATTGACTTTCTTATCAGAAGTTTTTTCGGACCTACGTACCCTCTCAGGAGGACAATAATTTTTACTGCTACTTCAACCCCTTTGAGGGTACAGCCACTAACAATCTCAGTTACTAATTTAAACTACCAATAATAAAATATATATGCTGATCATATAGCTGCTGGAAGCCTGATTGTTGGAGGTGCGATGGATGCATGTACAATGAACACAGCAGAGTAAATACAATGTGTAAAGTTATGCGGACAGCAACAACTTCAGATTGGTATTAAGGGTAACGGGGCTGGAAATAACTCCTTGTCGTATGAAAATAGAAGATCCGCCTGGAGTCTTTATCTCCAGGTGGAAAACGAATGATAACAGTTGTAACCTCGTCTCAAAATCAAATTGATCAGTCGGTTAAGATAAGTCCTTGGAGACACAGTGCTGATGGTTGTACCCGTACCAATAACTGTATCTCATTTAAATTCCCCATCCTGCAATCCACTGGATTATATTAGATGAATTACTCATGGTGGTTCAATGGGTGATCTCTCACGGGGACGGTGGATACCCTCACAGCACTCTGTGATGACGGAGTAACGTCCATGTCCAGAAGGCTCCAGGTCGGATAGTGCACTCTGCTTGAGAGGGAAGTCCCAAGTGATTGTTTCTATGTAACTTTTTCCTTCTACGTTTTGTAAGGTTGGTAGGTTGTGATTGCTCTGAGATTGGCTGTGTGGAGTCTGGCTCTCTGCCTGAGATGTCGAGGGTTGTGTAGACGTTTGACTATTATTAGTGGGACTGCTCAACGTGGTAGTACAGTCGACACGGGTCGAACAGATTTGATCCATAAACTGGCCTGATGATACCGATGAAGTCTGGCTGGCCTTAAGACAGCAGCTGGAATAAGTCACAGGCTGACTGAGAATTGTAGAGTCTTCTAGCCTCCAAATGTGATGTTTTTCTCGTATTTTAGAAGTAATTTTAGATTCTGTTGCCAAACAGGACAAAGTTTTGAGGGTGCCTATGGTATGACAATTTACACATTGCAATGCTTCTTCACAATCAGGATTATCGTGGCTATCACAGCGCTGGCAAGCCACAGAACGAGTACAGCCTTGGGAGCCATGTCCAGTCCTATACAAAACATCGGAGTGGATTGGGGACATACACCTCCACCCTGATGTTGACATAACCAGCTTTGATCGATTGCGGTATTGTAGAACGTGCAAAGCGACCAAGTACGTGTTAGTTTGCCTCGATGGTTGAATCAGCCTTCTTCTGGTGAAAACGTTTCACCGAAGTCACACCTTGGCTATATTCGTTTACTAAATTTACTGTCAGGGTGGTTCTGCCCTAAACAATAACTCAGAAACATACAGAATTCAGCGGTCAACATCACCAGATTGGCCCATGAGCCACCGATCTGGCATAAGACTCTCAGGGCATAGTATATAATTTGAAATACAAGCATTCATTCTCACAAATGTACAAACACAATAATTGCAATAAGTATGTTGTCCTAGCGTGACCAGCCGATTGATAGAAGGGCCGATTCTAAGTCTAGGTGAAGTTGGGCCAGAAGTGTGTGTTAGGAACACGGTTCCAGGATCCTACTGCCCTCAACCACCAGGCTACCGTCCTCCACCGACACAGGGGCGCAAACCCACGGCAAACGGGTTGGTGGACCATATATCCCCCCCGGGTCCACAACGGGGTGAAGGGCGCTTGGCGTTACCCAGCACCCACCACGAGGAGGTGGCCCTTCATGGGTGCCTAATTTTTGAGACATAGTTTCGCCAAGAGTGGCGTTTATTTTGCTTGAAAGTACGTCGTGCTTTAGCGTTTAAAATTCTAAATTTGTCTAAATTGTGGACGGAAATAATGCTTAGCTTTCTTCCTTGCCTTCCTTACCTGTTTGCATTCGTCGTTAAACCATGGTTTCGTACGTGTGGAAATGCAGAGGACTTTTGGGATACACTCGTCAGCAATGGTATTTAGTTCATCTGAAAACATTGTATGGCATCAGGAATATCAATAAAAAGTTCAGGCTTTAGAGCTATCAGCACAGAGAATTTCATATAAAGGCCAGTTAGCCTTTTAAAAAATTCCATCTTGATGATGGAGGAACGTCAGATGGATTCACAGGTTTTAGTATTGTTGGGAAATGGTCACTTCCACAAAGGTCGTCGTGGACTGACCATTCGAATTCACTCAATAGGTTGGAGTCAGTAATAGATAAATCAAGAGCTGAATATGTTCCTGTGCCAGGATGTAAATAAGTATTGTCACCGTCATTATAAATGCATAAGTCATTATTTGAAATGAAATCCTCCAGTAATTTACCCTTGGCGTTTGTAGTAGATCCACCCCAGAGTGGGTTGTGGCCATTTAAATCACCCATGATTAAACAGGGTTTAGGTAGTTGATCATAGAGAGCTTGCAGATCTGTAAGGTGAACAGTTGATGAAGGCGGGATGTACAAAGAACACAAGGTAAAAGCAACCTGTAATTTGTTTTAAGTGGAACAGGGCTATGGATAACATTGTTCCTCACCAGAATTGATGCTCCACCAGAAGCTTAATCACCAGGAGGAGAAAAATAATGATACCCATTAAACTGACGTAGATCAAAATTATCTGTTTGTTTCAGATAAGTTTCTCTTGTATGCTAAAACGCTGACGGGTAAAAAATCTTGGACTAATAACTGTAAATCGGTTATATTAGACCGAAGTCCTCTGCAATTCCATTGTATTATAGGTGAAGGTATCATTTCTTCGGAGGATGAACGGAGATCTACCCTCTCACCTTCCTTGAGGGTGACAAGCTAAGTGCCCTACCATGGCTATGGTCTGACACATCCATCTCCTCGAGAGATCCAAACTTATTAAAAGCTGGACCTGATTATTCGTCCCTTTAGGGTTCTGGTTACTTTGAGTCTTTTTTGTAATGTTTTCACTGTTTGTTTCTGGATTTGTTCCTTGCTGGTGGTTTGATACGTGTTTCTGGTTGAGATGATTGTTTCTGAGATTTAGATGAATCCTTCTCAGAAGATATCTTTGATTGTATGATTGTTTGTGATTGACATGTGGTTTGTGAACTGGAGGTCGTTTGGGTTGGCTTCAACTGAATCTCAACTGATAGCAATGTAGGAGCGGATGTCATCGCCCATGTGTAGTCGGTCTGACATCCTACTGAGTTGCATGAAACACGTTTAGGTTTGGTGACCGGAAGAGATGAAGAAACAGTAGCAGAGTAAGTAGGGCCAGATGGTGCCTGTGCAATTACAATCTTCTTTGCTTCTACAAATGAAATGTTGCTTTCGTGCTTCACGCGTGATATCTTAGACTGAAGTTTCCAAGTAGGGCATTCCTTGGAGGAGGAGGGATGACAACCAGAACAATTAACACATACATACGGGAGGTTTGTCACAAACGTTTGAATTCTCACATGATCCTGCACACATCGATGACAAGCTGCTTGATTACGGCACGATTTGGAACCGTGGCCATATATTTTGGCAGGTATAGCATCTCAAGGATTAGGGATAAAAGTATCCACCCTCAAGTTGCAATACCCAGCCTTCAAAGATGTTGGATGTATGGAAAGGCAGAAAGTAAACAGATAAGTGTTAGTTTTGTGACTTCATAATTCTTTTACAGTGAAACGTTTTACACTGGCAAGCCAATGATCCTGTGATTTGACACAAGGCTTGAACTTCACGAGGCCGAATGACAGCACGTACTTTCTGCTGCTTTGCATGTGCTGCTTCGTGGTTTTATGGATGCAACAATTTGATTTTCGAGGTGGGGAGGTGGTACTTTCTTAAAAAGTAAAGTCTCTGTTTTACTGAAATATTAGTGCCCCTTTTTCTTTCTGGCGATGGGCATCGAATCATCAAGCTTTCCATTTTTGTATTATGTTGGAGAAAATAATTAAGCTTCTGAACATGTAGAAAATGCTGATCTCAAACCACAATCAAGCTCCCCTTTCCTTGAAATGGTTGCTCCCTAATGGGGCACTATATAACACAGATACTTTCACAGATCTGTCTCGCATGTCGTTTATCGCATCGCAATTATTATTCGCTATTCACTATTCGCTTTACTAGTACTATCAGCCATGTTTCCTTTTTCACGATCTTTAGGTCTGATGCAGCAGGCTCCGCCTGCTCAGGGACCTCTCAGCCTGCCCAAGGAGCCCAGCCTGCTCAGGCACCTCAGCCTACCCAGGGAGCCCAGCCTACTCAGGGACCTCAGCTTGCTCAGGGACCTCAGCCTACCCAGGGAGCTTAGGCGATCCAGGGACCTCAGCCAACCCAGGGAGCTTAGGCGATCCAGGGACCTCAGCCAACCCAGGGAGCTTAGGCGATCCAGGGACCTCACCACCTCATCCAACCCAGGGAGCTTAGGCGATCCAGGGACCTCAGCCAACCCAGGGAGCTTAGGCGATCCAGGGACCTCAGCCAACCCAGGGAGCTTAGGCGATCCAGGGACCTCATCCAACCCAGGGAGCTTAGGCGATCCAGGGACCTCAGCCAACCCAGGGAGCTTAGGCGATCCAGGGACCTCAGGCGATCTAGGGACCTCAGCCAACCCAGGGAGCTTAGGCGATCCAGGGACCTCAGCCAACCCAGGGAGCTTAGGCTCTTAGAAAATGCTGATCTCAAACCACAATCAAGCTCCCCTTTCCTTGAAATGGTTGCTCCCTTATGGGGCACTATATAACACAGATACTTTCACAGATCTGTCTCGCATGTCGTTTATCGCATCGCAATTATTATTCGCTATTCACTATTCGCTTTACTAGTACTATCAGCCATGTTTCCTTTTTCACGATCTTTAGGTCTGATGCAGCAGGCTCCGCCTGCTCAGGGACCTCTCAGCCTGCCCAAGGAGCCCAGCCTGCTCAGGCACCTCAGCCTACCCAGGGAGCCCAGCCTGCCCAGGGGCCCAGCCTGCTCAGGGACCCTCAGGGAGCTTGCTCAGGGACCTCAGCCAACCCAGGGAGCTTAGGCGATCCAGGGAGCTTAGGCGATCCAGGGACCTCAGCCAACCCAGGGAGCTTAGGCGATCCAGGGACCTCAGCCAACCCAGGGAGCTTAGGCGATCCAGGGACCTCAGCCAACCCAGGGAGCTTAGGCGATCCAGGGACCCTCAGCCAACCCAGGGGAGCTTAGGCGATCCAGGGACCTCAGCCAACCTAGGGAGCTAGGCGATCCAGGGACCTCAGCCAACCCAGGGAGCTTAGGGCGATCCAGGGACCCTCAGCAACCCAGGGAGCTCAGGCGATCTTAGGGACCCTCAGCCAACCCAGGGAGCTCCAGGCGATCCAGGACCTCAGCCAACCCAGGGAGCTATAGGCTCTTTAGAAAATGCTGATCTCAAACCACAATCAAGCTCCCCTTTCCTTGAAATGGTTGTTCCCTTATGGGGGGCACTATATAACACAGATACTTTCACAGATCTGTCTCGCATGTCGTTTATCGCATCGCACTATTATTCGCTATTCACTATTCGCTTTACTAGTACTATCAGCCATGTTTCCTTTATCACGATCTTTAGGTCTGATGCAGTGGCAGGCTTCCCCTGCTCAGGGACCTCCTCCTCAGCCTGCCCAAGGAGCCCAGCTCTGCTTCAGCCACTCAGGCAGCCAGCCCACTAGGGGAGCCCAGCTTGCTCCAGGGACCTCAGCCTACCCAGGGAGCTTAGGCGATCCAGGGACCTCATCCAACCCAGGGAGCTTAGGCGATCCAGGGACCTCATCCAACCCAGGGAGCTTAGAGCTTATAGGGCGATCTAGGGACCTCATCCAACCCAGGGAGCTTAGGCGATCCAGGGACCTCAGCCAACCCAGGGAGCTTAGGCGATCTAGGGACCTCAGCCAACCCAGGGAGCTTAGGGTGTCCAGGGACCAACCCATCCAACCCAGGGAGCTTAGGTGATCCAGGGACCCTCACCCAACCCAGGGAGCTTAGGCGATCCAGGGACCTCAGCCAACCCAGGGAGCTTAGGCGATCCAGGGACCTCAGCCAACCCAGGGAGCTTAGGCGATCCAGGGACCTCAGCCAACCCAGGGAGCTTAGGCTCTTAGAAAATGCTGATCTCAAACCACAATCAAGCTCCCCTTTCCTTGAAATGGTTGCTCCCTTATGGGGCACTATATAACACAGATACTTTCACAGATCTGTCTCGCATGTCGTTTATCGCATCGCAATTATTATTCGCTATTCACTATTCGCTTTACTAGTACTATCAGCCATGTTTCCTTTTCACGATCTTTAGGTCTGATGCAGCAGGCTCCGCCTGCTCAGGGACCTCTCAGCCTGCCCAAGGAGCCCAGCCTGCTCAGGCACCTCAGCCTACCCAGGGAGCCCAGCCTGCTCAGGGACCTCAGCTTGCTCAGGGACCTCAGCTTGCACAGGGACCTCAGCCTACCCAGGGAGCTTAGGCGATCCAGGGACCTCATCCAACCCAGGGAGCTTAGGCGATCCAGGGAGCTTAGGCGATCTAGGGACCTCAGCCAACCCAGGGAGCTTAGGCGATCTAGGGACCTCAGCCAACCCAGGGAGCTTAGGCGATCCAGGGACCTCAGCCAACCCAGGGAGCTTAGGCGATCCAGGGACCTCAGCCAACCCAGGGAGCTTAGGCGATCCAGGGACCTCATCCAACCCAGGGAGCTTAGGCGATCCAGGGACCTCAGCCAGGAAGCTAGGGACCCTCAGGCGATCCAGGGACCTTAGGCGATCCAGGGACCTCAGCCAACCCAGGGAGCTCAGGCGATCCAGGGACCTCAGCCAACCCAGGGAGCTTAGGCTCTTAGAAAATGCTGATCTCAAACCACAATCAAGCTCCCCTTTCCTTGAAATGGTTGCTCCCTTATGGGGCACTATATAACACAGATACTTTCACAGATCTGTCTCGCATGTCGTTTATCGCATCGCAATTATTATTCGCTATTCACTATTCGCTTTACTAGTACTATCAGCCATGTTTCCTTTTTCACGATCTTTAGGTCTGATGCAGCAGGCTCCGCCTGCTCAGGGACCTCTCAGCCTGCCCAAGGAGCCCAGCCTGCTCAGGCACCTCAGCCTACCCAGGGAGCCCAGCTTGCTCAGGGACCTCAGCCTACCCAGGGAGCTTAGGCGATCCAGGGACCTCAGCCAACCCAGGGAGCTTAGGCGATTCAGGGACCTCAGCCAACCCAGGGAGCTTAGGCGATCAGGGACCTCATCCAACCCAGGGAGCTTAGGCGATCCAGGGAGCAGGGAGCTTAGGCGAGGCGATCCAGGGACCTCAGCCAACCCAGGGAGCTTAGGCGATCTAGGGACCTCAGCCAACCCAGGGAGCTTAGGCGATCCAGGGACCTCAGCCAACCCAGGGAGCTTAGGCGATCCAGGGACCTCAGCCAACCCAGGGAGCTTAGGCGATCCAGGGACCTCAGCCAACCCAGGGAGCTTAGGCGATCCAGGGACCTCAGCCAACCCAGGGAGCTTAGGCGATCCAGGGACCTCAGGCGATCTAGGGACCTCAGCCAACCCAGGGAGCTTAGGCGATCCAGGGACCTCATCCAACCCAGGGAGCTTAGGCGATCCAGGAACTTCAGCCTGCCCAGGGACCCCAGCAAACCCAGGGATCCCAGGCTACATCAACATCACATGGCATGGACCGGGCTTCGTCGTCATCGACACCATTTGCCACCCCAATGTCGACCGCACCCTCAGCCACAGTTATTTGAGGACTTTAGTGAGATTTTATATTCATCATCTGTTGGTGATTAAATTTTCACATTATGAAAGATTTCTGCAATAGACTGGAATTTGCTTTTGTCATCAATATATTGAAACAGTACATTATACATCTTTACTGTTGTCCGAAACACAAGTAGCGTCGCACTCAGAAGCGCCGACATTTCCAGTGCAGAGTCGCGTCCCTTGGTCACATCAGAGGCCTATGATCATGGGTTCGAATCCCGTTTCCTCCCGATTGTCTTTCTGGATTTGTCTGCCCCAAAGTCGTCCTCGTTGGTTTCATCGTAATCGTTAACCTGTGACACCTACGTCACTTTGGATCCTCATGACACCTACGTCACTTTGGATCCTCATGACACCTATCACTGGACTGCAGGGGGAAGGTTTCCCACTTCTTGTTGTTTCCAACGGCAAAAAGAGACGTATACCAACAAAGCACCGGAATATCAGCTGAAGGTATACTCACAACAAGCTTTTGTACAAGAGCTAAGTAGCAAACCCCTCCAAAGTCATTCATCTTTACCACCACAACAATCACTATGACGTGATTACATCCATGGCAGATTTAGCGTGTACAATGAAGATTGTGCCGTGAAGTAACAAAAATGAAGACCATCGCTGTACCAGGGAATAAATGTTGGCGTCCTGACTATTGTTTCAAAGTTGAGAATGAAGGCAATCCATGCCTGGACTGCATGTGGTGGATTCCCGCTTCTTATTGTTTCCAACGGCACAAAGAGACGTAGCCCAACAAAGCTGGTATCACTACTAGCACATGCCAATCTTTACATCGTTGTTCAAACTGCAATCAGGAGGACAATGCCAACAAACATACCTGTTCAGAACAACATGTTTGCAGGACCTGTAAGGAATCCCTTCCACCCAAACAACTGTATTAGGTTACGCCCATGGAGGACCAAGGCACTATACCGAACACTACAGGTCTCGTCTCAACATATGACAAACTAAAAAGAATGTCAACATAGAGGTGTGCAGTACACCTTGGATGTGGCAGGCTTATCGGGGACACATCAACCGAGGGTGTCCTTGGAGAAAGGAAGATGTAGGACCTTCTAGATCAGTGGTCTTTCGAGGAGATAGCACTTTGGAGGAAATGGGTGTGTGGCATGTATCCCTTGTTGGCAAGAAAACAAACAAGAGTTAGTGAGTGAAAAGTGAAAGCTTTGGAACTTACGTATCCTCTCAGGAGGACAATAATCTTACGATACTTTGAGGATACAGCCACTAACAATCTCAGTTGATAATCTAAACCACTATTAATAAAATACCACTTATCTATTTACAAAACATATTATTCAAAATTTACCTAGTAATTCTATTTCCTATTCTATTAAATGAAAATTAACATCACAAGAAGATCCTTAATTGTTTTCACATTGAAATATTATCCCTTGTGATGGAGAAATCAATAGAGTCAGGACAGGCGTGACCGTGATTCTCTCATCACAAGGGATGCAAAACGGAGGATCCTCGTCCTTTAACAGGTATTCATGAGGTGAGGTGAAATTGGGTTTTACGTAACAGGTATTCATGAGTATATATAGCATGGCCAAAACGACATCGTCGCATAATGACCTCTTCAAATCTGGACTGACAACCCAAGTAGGTGTAACCAATATAGGGTAAAACAAACAAGAAGAGAAAGGGGGATGCTCCTGGCTCGGCTGTGGAGGAAGACGAAAATGTCTTTGAAGATGGTGAGGATGACAAAGAAGTGTTGGTCATAGCTCACAATTTTCGTGGATGCCGCTGAAATCATTTCCAAAGACATTTGGTCTGTCTGAAAGGATGCTTCCCTCATTTCTTCAACACAAAAGTCAACAAGAAGTACGTAAGACACTAGCCTCCCATGGACATCTATAGTCCTCACAGTATGTCCTCACTTTCATCAAATGGTACGAAGAGAAAGTTTCTGCAAATGCCATATTCGCCATGTCTGAGGACATACTGTAATACAGCTAAGGAATGGCGATATTTATGAGCCCAAACAATGTGGATCTATTCCCAGGAGTAACGTTTCGGTGTAGATCCTTACACCGTTATCAAGGAAATGATACTCAACATTTGCACAAGGAGAAATATATACATGACGGGTATTGTGTTTAAACAATAGAAGAGGTTGATGTACGGTGATACCCGCCATGTATATATTTCTCCTTGTGCAAATGAAGAGGTCTAAAATTATGTGTAGCACGGTCAGAAAGAGAGGGCCAGTCTCCTTGAAACCATTGCCATGTATACGCTATTTCTCCGATAGTTAATGCATCAAGACCAACATCTCAGTAAATGGGCTGTTCTGATCTGTACAAAGGGGGGCAAAAAAATCACAAAGATGGGGCCAAGTCTCCTTGATATGGGAAAGTTCACAGAAAACAAATAAGGGATTGCCGACGAAGCCGAAAGGATGCCTTTGAACAATGCCATAAAGTGGGCATTAGTCTGATAAAGCAAAGTAGGTGTTGTAACACGCCAATTATGTACAGAACCTTCCGTATTCTTCGCCATGTTCACAGAACCTTCCGTATTCTTCGCCATGTTGAGAGACGAGGGGCATGAAGACAAAGATGTCCTCATCGCAGAAACATGCTGTTCGTCTCCACTGAACCACGGAAGGATTTCCACTCTTCGCATCCTGCCACTAATAACGTCATCACCGTCTGGGTTACAGCACAAGCATGCCTCTTATTATAAAAGTAAGAAATTGCATTAAAAATACAAAGTAAACTAAACTGTAATTCAACTTCAATCTGGAATATTTGAAACATTATATGAGTCATAAGTGTATTTACATGCTATCTTTATCTTTATACTTCACGTCGCTTGAAAAGGTGTGTGTGTGTGTGTGTGCTGTACCTTTGGCATGGCATGGACAGCATCATTTACGTCCACAAGCCTGATGTTTGCAATCCGTCTTTAGGAGACACTTTGGGAAAACCGACAGATGAATTTCGTGTCAGGTGGTCCAAAACAACTATGCCTACAAATTATTCCGATCTGCGAAAGACGGAACAAGGACAGTGTGTAAGGTTAGGGGGTTCACGCTCAACTACCGTGCAAGCCAAATTTAACAGTGTGAAAACACTCATATACGGCAGACAGGGCGAATCAATAAGTGTGGACTACTTAACTATGTACAGCCTGCATTGCCCAATAAAGTATTGTTTGAGATTGAAGAAATGTTTTGTTTTTGGAGAGGAAAGTTCCTATAAACACAACATTGAAATCGAGATGCACGCATCGTAAATGCATTCAGGCATAAATTGCCGGCTTGAATGGCAATCGTTCACTTGTTTTCTGAACACAGCAGCTATGACTAGGTTAACGAGAGATCAATCACAACAAGCTATTGATCGCCCTGCACGCTGGTCAACATGCTCGAGTCATTGCTAACGACTTCAGTTGCAGCGTACGAACGATAGAACGTCTTAGAGTGCGATACAACGGCACCAGCAGCACTGATGACCGTCCACGTAGTGGTCAACCCGTAACAACACGTCGCCAGGACCGTCATATCGTCCATCAACACGTGCAAAGACCTATTCGCAAGGGCCAGAGAAACAGCTTTGGTGACCATATAGGAAACTACCAGCGACCAGTCAGTGACCTACTATTCGGCGACGTCTCCAAGCCAGCCCTTTCAGTATTTCCTTGGACATTTTAGAAGTTGGGGTGATGACGAGTGATGATGCTTTTTATGGATATACAGCTACTTTATTGTGAAAGGCGACGTTTCGACAGATTCTAATGTTGCCAAGCAAGTCATCATTTGGTTGATAACGACATTAGAATTTATGTCGAAACGTCGCCTCTCACAATAAAGAAGTTGTATATCCATAAAAAGCATCATCATTCTTTACCCTAATCATATCGTACACCGGGGTTTCCATGAGGGCACCAACTGTCTGTCAGCACTACCAAACGATACAGGATGGTCTACACAAAGAGATGCGTGCTGTACAACGACTATGGGTTGTCAGTGGAAACCCACCCATATGGATGGAAAAATTAACCAATACATCTCCGTGATAGACTGATCAAGTGTTTCGAGGACAAAAACAACATATCTTCCCCACACTGAAATCGGCCGTGCCACACCTCAACGTTGGTGTGTGGGTGACAACATGTTTCATTATTTGAACATGGCTAAGTTATGGCACGACTTACAAATGAATAAACAGAGCACATTTTTTTTATGTTTTCACTTGCTGCGTCAGTTTGGTGAGTGAGATACAATTTTACATCGCATCGGCAATATTACAGCCATATAGCGATGAAAACAAGGTAATTATTTTAACATATCTGTCGACAAAGGACAGTAAAAGTGCGTCAGTTGGATTCTTTATAGACCTTGTAATGTGTTGATAACGCATTGCGGTTGATGACGTTATGACGTTATGCGGTTGATGACGTTATGCGGTTAATGACGTTATGCGGTTGCTGATTAGCAAAACACTTTGCTGATAAATTTTATATCTTTAATGTGTGTAAATCGATATGGGTGACCTCCATTGTCAACATGTTCCGAGCAGTAATCAACTTCAGATTAAGGGACCTGTGTTTAAAAGTGATTCTAAATCCGCTAAGTAGTTCTACTTATAATCTGAGTAGTAGGCCTACTCTGTTTAAGATTTAATATAGAGTTTATGCAGTAGGAGGGGAAGGAGCATTCTTCAATGTAGTGGTTCACACGGCCACGTTGCTAATAAGAACATCTACCCCACTAAACAGCCCCATATTCTCAAATTAAATAAAAATCTAAAACAGTCCGACCTCCCTAAATCAGCACTCAATCACCACCTGAACTATCACACACTCGTCTCCCAAAGCTCCTCTTCAGCACCTGTGACACCTCCCACCAATTCTCTCTCCCCACCCCCACTAAACCAAACAAAACACACACCACAACCACCTCTGCCAACCCTTATACTAACAATCAATCTAAAAACAACCAAAACAAAACAACTCATCCCCATC